GCTGATGACAGGGAGAGCCACTGTGAATGGAGAAAAGGCCAAGGGAACAAAATAACGGAACAGCTCTAAACTAAACGCGACTGGCGCAAAGTGTCATAGATGCCTGCCACGAGCTGAACAATAAGCAACGAGGTAACCTAGACGTGGGTTAGTGCTTGAGCCCCGGTTCTTGCCCGGCTCTTCTTCAACCTGGGCAAATAGAATGATAACGAACACCCCTCCGCTTCGATTATGCCGCATGGGTCATAGTTGACTCCGTATATCCCATAGCGACACTGGAGAACAAGTAGGCTAGTGCACATATAAGTGTATGGGTTCGTGGCAAGATCCTTAAGCCGTCTCACATTCAGAAGGCTCAAGGAGCCTGCCAAGGTACGAAGACATTGGGTTGGGCGGGTATTTGGAGCCTTCAAATCTGAATGCTTGCATTGCATCATGCGCCTATAGGTGAGAGAATAAACCCTAAAGCAGTTGGGAAGAGAGCACGGTGTTGTGGTCACCCTGCAACATTGTCCACTTACGTTGCGCCATCTGAGGACTTGTAGTCACTGTGCCGCAAAAGTAGGCATATCTGCGCCAGGATCTTGCAGAAAACGATTAATAACCCCAGATGGATGTGGCGAAATGGAGGCTCTGCATACTCATTAGAGAGAGTTCCCGGAATATTCCACTACAGCGACAGAAATCACCAATAGGCTAGGATTTTTGAAACATCATAAACATGGAAAGCCTGTTTAGACGAATTGCCTCGCAGTCAAAGCCCCAGGGCTGACCAATGCAGACAGGTTGAAAAAGCTAACAACAGGTATAAGGCATGCACGATATTTGATGTGAAAGAATGGCCAGCGTTTCGTCAAAAAGGATGGTCCACATTGGCTGACAGGCGCGTTGGTCTAATTTTTGAAAATTGGTTAATTCGGGGCCAGAATTCAATGCGTAACAGATAATTGTATGGTACCGTCCTGGCAAATCCACCTCGAGAGTAAGCTTCTCCTCGCATTCGAAAATCCGCATGTCTCTTCGGACTTGATTGGTAAGTTAATTCTTTATTAACATGGTTGTGTTGTCAGCTGGTCGCCCTTTTGAACGATTTGTGGCCAAACAGAGATCAGTTTCGCAAGATCTCCGAGGCGGACAGGATTGAACGTGCAGAAGGATAATCCTTCCATATGCAAATTGCCCGAACAACTGCGGCATCATGTTTTTGGATAGGGAATGGCCCCTGAAGACGAACCAGAAGCCGAAGCTAGTGTGTGCGTTGTGCCTTGCGCCCCGAGGCCTGCGTCACCGGTCTCTTATGCTCGGCGCGAGTGGATATTCTCAGCACATCTCCCGTGGCCTGGAAGATATATGAAGGACACGCCAGAAACAGAAAATACCGCGATTCAAGCGCTCAAATATCGTTGGAAGCATTCAGTAAACTCATACTTGTCAGACTCCAACTTACATTGGTTTACGGTACAGAACACATAAAAAGAAAGCATGGAAGACAATGACGGAACGAAGGGAATCGGAAGCAAATGAAGAGAGCCGCGAATAGAGATGCGGCACAGTGTGGACATGTTGGGCTTCCTGCATATTAAACCTATCCACTAGCATTCAGTGCACGGGGAAGTGACCAGCCTAGCAGAAATGACCAGCATCGGCAACGGTGCAGCCAGAGTCCAACCAATGGGCGCAAATTGAGGCACATCTGTTGGCTTTATCTTCCAAAGCATTGCAGGAAGCCCCCAAGGTATGTGCTTGTTAGTTTGATGTTCAGTTGACACATGGAGCCTCTGCAGAATACGAGTAAGGAAAGCCAACAAAATGGTGAAAGATACTAGTAATCAACCCTCAGCGCGGTTTTATCATAGAGTGAAAATAGTAGCTTACCAAACCAAAGAACATTCGTTTCGAATTATGCTTTCTTCCCGCGATGAAAAGTGTCTTGACTCAAAAATACTCGTGCTTGTTGAAGAGAAAGACTCCCTGAACAAGGTTTAGTGATTTTTTGAGCATAAAATACTTGGTCAGCGGGGGAAATTTGGGTTCGGGTAATCGCTTTTTGCGAAACGAAGTAAAAGGCAAAAGAACAAAGAAACATCAGCCAGTGTGGAAAACAGAAACCCGAAAAAAGGGTTAAATGAAGAACACAAACCAACATCTACCAATTGTCGCCCACAGAACAGTGTGGTCATGTGATTAATACGCGATGCGGGTTGAAACCGATTTTTGGGCAAAGACTAGCATTCGATAAAGCAGCCCGCGTCGAACGGTGCCCCGGCGTTGTTGGCGCTGCGATGAACCAAGTTGGCACATTTCGTTGCCTGTGACCTTCAGGTTTTGGATGCATGAATGGTGAGAACAATAGACAGATACTAGTAGGGGTACTCAATATAATTGCAGGACAACACCCGATGATGTTGGGTGACGTTTATGATGAGAGACTCCTTGCTTAAAATCCCTAGAAGACGTAATGACGCCTTTGTGAGACTGCTCTCGCTGAATATTTTCTCAATATCAACTAACCTCCTCCTAGTTACGCGTGAGAAATTCACCTATATAACACTCTGCAAGGGCATGAGCGTCCGAATGAACTCCGGTAGTAGTAGCGAAAATACTTCTATTAGAGCTGTGCTGGCAACTGAAAAGAATGGTGACAAGGTAGCGGCCGTTGACTGATTTCTAAATGCTCAACCGTTTTATTTCCATGGCCCCTACGGGAATTCTATTGTTCCCGAAAATCCCGAGTTTTCTTTTTGTTGTTGATCAACTTTTGAATCTCAAGGGATCCACGCTCAAATTCGCGGTTCATTGGACAACTCATGCGCTCCCATCCACCCCTGGCCCCGACATTCAGAGTGAAGAGTCATCCAAGTTGCGCGTCTATCTGTCCACATAAGGACAGACTGAAGCTCCACTCGAAACCCGGCAGTTTCGTCACAATTAGATGCTGTTATCGGCTAAAAATCCGACAGTCGGGGTGTGATGACCATTTTCTCCTTGATTTTCGAGCGAGTTTGTCTGAAAATTTGAGATTGGCAGATCATGCAATTAACTTTCGTTTTCAACTGGTGGGCCCCGCTTTATTATGGGGTTGTTTTGTCCTCGCAAGGGTTTTTTTTGTGGGAGTTGGGCGGATGCAAGAACCAAAAAAGGGATCCCTTCTCGTGTTTCTGCACTTTCGGAAGAGGCGAAACCCGAGGAGGCTCGGGGTTTTGGATCTTTCCGTGTCTGCGCTTGGAAAGCCCGATTGGTGATAAGCCAAAAAAAAAAAAAAAAAAATCCCCTCAAGCCCGAGACTATTTCGGTACGTTGCCAGCCATCAAAAGTCTTCAGCATGAATCGGCTGAATAATTACTCATGTCTGGGATTGACAAGGACTCTGCCTCAGCCGAGCCTAATTATAAGTTAAGTTAACTAACTCAACCTTTGACTTATTAATTACGATGCTAGTCAACAAATTAGTTCCCTGCGACCGAATCATGACGACGCCTTCTGGCCATGCCACGACGACACGCTCCGTAATAATGAGTTAGAGAACGTGAGGAAACAAATATTCGACGAATAAGACCTCTTGAATTACCAATTGCACCGAGTTAATGCTTTCGTATTTTGCTGACCTCTTCCCCAATGCGATTGTAGAAATTCCAGCTGGCTGAATTTTAGTTTCTCCCATTCTTGAGGCCCCTCAATCTTTTTTTAAAAATCATCTTGATTATTATCCCCTTCAAGCAAGTAGATCAAGAAAAACGGAGTTCTTCTGAGGCTCCTGACTTGTTTCTTTCTACCTAGAAGTATTTTCATCGAATATAAGAAAGTTCCGGAATAATGTGGAGGTTGATATCCTTGACTCGTTTTAAAAAAGATCAACCATACTTTGTAGTTGAGCTTGCATCTTGACTCTCTGATCGCTTCTTGACAACTTGGATTTTACTTTGCAGAAATGTCTAGGCAACTAACTGAACCAAATAGCTGAGCTGAGATGCTGCGCTCATCATCAGCTTTTGCCATCATTTTGGCACAAGCCACCCCCAATCTGGGAATTGATCGTTGCCGCAGAAAATAGGAAGCATCTCTTGGCATTTCTTACATCTTCTTGTTTCGCGGCGGGGCATGGCTCATGGGCTCGTTTGAAGAGTAATGAAACGCTCCGCGATCTCTTGTACCGCGATAGCTTTTAAAAAATAGATCTAAAATGAAACTACTGTGTCAGCGAATCAGCGTGTTAGGATCGCCTTCCAGAACGAGAAGATGAGACTCTTGACACCGCAGGGATAGACGCTTAAAAAACATGGGTATTTATAGCTTCAGGTACGATGCATCTGTGCTTGCAAATTCTTGATAATGCGTGATCCATGACAAACCGGCTGGTAGTAAGTTGAGTATCGTTTAAGGTCCATGCCATCCAATAAACAATCAAAACCATGCAATACCGAGGCTCCCGTTTATGACGCCTGAGGAGAAAAAATCCTGCGTAAAATAGTATCAAAAAAGTGTGCCAGCAGTGGCTTACTATCACACGGTCAATTGATCTCGTCCTTCTGCTTCCATCCCTGTTGTGCTCTAAAAGTTAGTTTCGGAGACTTTTTAGACACGTCCTTTTAACCGGCATTTTTTGCTTCACCCTGATTGCTCGAAAGTGAATCCATGGTCCCAAAAGTGGTTAAAAGAATCCTTTGAAACAAAGAAGGATGAGGAATGTGTCCTTCTATTCAAAGGCTATCGAAAAGCTTGAACGCTGAATCAATGGATCCGCTTCCCGGAATCGACAGTATTGTGAGATTTGTTGCAATTCTGACCAACAGGGGATTTCCTGCTGAGGGAAGGGGGGTTGGCTTCTAGAAGCATGGCCCTTGTTGGCACCAAGTATTGCTTGGCCTCCGCAAATTTAGGCCGCGATGCAGCTAAGAGGATACTATGATCCCGGATTCTTTAAGCCCACCCCCTCAAAAGAAAATAACACCTTTGGGAGGGATTTAGGTCATGTCCTGTATTGGGGCCCAAAACCGACAATAATGTCGCCTCCTGACTCGTCCAATGCTGTCGGAGTGAGGTGGACAACTTCCTGTGGCAATTCCAGAAGCACCTTGAAAGAAATATTAAAAGCTGTTACATCACCCATTAGCGAAAGGGGAAATATTATGCTTTTCACACCATGAAGTCTCAGGACGAAGGTTGCATCCACGGACCCGTGACAAAATATGAGTAATTGATTGCAGTAGCGTGTGAACCATCCCCAGTCCCACCATGCAAACGACCAAGCCTCTTGAACAAATGAGAGTGATATCAAGGCTCTGCTTCGCAAATTCCTTCTGTCGGGGCCAGGAACCATGTCTCCACAAGTTGTCTTTGGTCATTGTTGAGACCGATTCTTTCCTCCCTCCCTCCCTCCTTTCATCCACAGTGTAACCGCGGCCAGCATATCATCCATGAACCTTCCAGCTGCGCCGCGGAATACGCGAAAAGATATAATTCTTGCTCTCCATCAAAGTCAGGCTCCGAATCGAGTAAGCAGCAAGGGGCGGCATTAGGAGCTGCCAAGATTCCTAGTATTCATCTTTGTACCGTGCTTCATGAGGTAAGAGCAAGCGTGGAGTTTTGGATGATTAAATCGGCTTGAAAGCAGGAGGGATTCTCTCATTTTGTCCACAAGCCCTCGTTGAACATTTGGTTTATCACATCTTAGTACGGCCCCATGGCCAAGCGAATGTAATAAATAACCAATGATCAAGTTGCCAACACTCTTGTCGTTTGTTTCCCTACAAATAAGGCCTTTCCTTCCAATACCAAAGGACACCAGACGAAACGAACACTCTAAGCATATTGAAGACAGGGCGATCAATACAAGCTGCCGTCATCCTTAATCCATGATCGCTGCATTTTCCGTGCTTTTTCTTTTAGCCATGCAGGCAATGTCAAAAACTGTTCACGATAGCCCCTCAAGCGGGCCGCTCGAATCAAGCAACCAATTTCGAGATACCCTGGGACTTTGCAGGGGCTGTCTCATGATGGACCTCCAGGCTGCTATCACGTGATTGTATTACCCTCCAAGGAAATCGAGGATGTCTCTGCCGCCAGAAGCACCCCCAGGAGCGTCCACCATGTCAAAAGTTTGTAGCGGTGACACTCGGGGTCGCACTTCGCCGATTGAAAAAAAGGTCACCAATCGGCACTCCGTCAAAATCTGCGTGTTGGTTCATGGCGTGACGTTGCTTTCTTTTTTTGTGCATGCGTATTTGAAAATTTTCCGAACCGTAAGAATACGTTCACCCCCAGAGGCGGACTAAATTACAACCTCCAATTCTTCAGGGAACAACTCCCGAAGCCAGGGTTCTGCGGCTAGTCGCGCGGCAGATGCCTCTCACTACCAGCCTCGTCATCTTCCGGTACCTTGGAAGTCTGTGGCTTCGACTGGCTTGGCCCAATTTCGCTATCGAATTACGGCTTTCGGTCTAGCGTGCCTTGAGCCTAGCTTATTCCTGACACTTGCATCATAACTCAGGCCTCTGAATGGCTGCTGCGTCCCAGAGCAGCGGTTGAGGCTGGGAAGCCGCGCGACTGGGCACAGGGATCTCTGGCCAGTCACGCCAGCATCGTTGGTTTTTCCGGCTTCAATCAATTGCCTATGACGGAAAACCGTTTTGCTGCTGCGTCACCCATTCGTTGGTTGAATACGACATTCTTGATCGTCCTGGACGTTCCTTGTAACCCCCACATGACACGTTCGATGATGACCGCCGCGATTTTCCTCGCAACTAAGTCAATACGGTAACTAAGACCGAAAGGCTGCTGGTCAGGCTACCACTGACAGGCTGTGAGCTTTCAGGGGTATTGGCCTCCAAGCGCCCGATTCTTGAGAGTTTTCGACAGAGTTGGCCTATCGCCTTTCCAGTGCCGCATGCCAACGCGCTTATTCAATGAAGTTAGCACTCAGTCTGTCTGTGGCCCTTGTCGTTCAGAGGGAGGATCAGCAAGGATTGGCAGGGGATTATCACGAGAATCCGTCAGTTTATTGACGCCCTCCCTACCCTAAGTTCCCCTCTCACAGTCATTTGACTTCGATGCGCCAGATTTGGTTGCTGTTGCCGAACAGTTCGCAATTTTTTAGGGCCTAATATTGACAACAAAATGAAAGAAACTAAATAAAGAAAAAAAAACAAATAAAGATAATCTTGATCAATCATTGACGAGAGCTTTACTCCCTGGTGTCAATGAAAGAGATAGTCTTGCACCTGCCAAGCCCGACATTGGACAAAAAGTTCGCCGCTAGAGGCGAGACTGATAAATTGGTCACAAAACTCCGAGTTAGCCAACCCAGCTTTGAAGTATACCAAAAGCCAAATCACACCGTCTCGCGGCATCTCATAGGCTTGAGCCAGGGAGCAGTGTAGATTTCCCCAACATCTCACAGTTTCACACACGGGCATCTATTCTCTTTCCTTTAGCGGTGGATATTTCCCGAGGTCTCAAAATGTTACGAACCTTCGGGTTAGCTTCTTGTAAAGCGGGAGCGAGCAGGTACGGGCCATGTGTTGAAGCTGACGAGCCTGTCTTTGCCAGTGTGAAGTCGAATAATTTTGGATGTTTTACTTTTGGCTGGACAATAGACATATTGGGGATCATCAATGGGGACACACGACCTCAGATCCTTGCGTTGTTGGGCTTTGTATTGCCCTGTAGATGTGAGAGGACCCTGTCCCTTCAAAACCGTTAACTATATTCTTTGAATCCCAATGGTGATTTGCTTTGAATTTGGCTTTTGCCCTCTTGCTTTTCAATACTTGGTCCGCCGGGGGTGGTGTAGCACGATGCATTATGTATTACTTGCCGTGTCTTCCACCAACATTTTATTTAATCTTAAGATCTCAAAACTTTTCGCCCTGTCCCTTGGCATAGGCACAGATGGACCCCAGTAGTAGGCAGCGTAGGATGGGATAAGGTGATAGCAGAACGCCACAAAAGAACGGCGTTGTGACGTCCAGGACAAAGGAACTTGCAAACGAGAAAATAGGAGTCTCCCCGGTCCGGATTTTGATGCCAGGTCGCAAGCAGTATTTTAATACGGCGGCTTTCATTCGACCTTTGCGAGCATGGCATTACCCTATTGGCACAAGTTGATCTGTAAGCGGTGTATTTGTATTATTAATGAGTCCAGATCCCTCGTGCTATTTTTCCATTTCTCCCCTCCCTAGGCCTCTGCATCTACGGATATGATCCTATTAGTGTTCGCTCATCTTTTAGGCGGGCATTGAACAAAGCTTCCGCAGCAAATCTTTGTTCTCTTTTTCCTTTATGCGTGATCACCCTAGCAAGCTGCGGGAGAGCACACGATAGATAACTCACGGTTTTGGTCCTGCCCATTTCTATCCATGCAAAGCTTCCCACCATCGCCGCATTCCATTTATATATGCGGCAGCTTTTAATCGCCTTGCTTTTCCATCCATGTGTCCTGTCGGAGTAAAGCCGTTATAGTAAGGCGTTCCTTCTCATTCTATAGGCCGATATATAAAGCAATTAAGCAACCGTCCCCTATAGACTTTCTAAGCTGCTTTGTCTGATCTGCGGTCATTTTGCACCAAGACACTTCCCTGGTCTACGTGTTCAAAGTGACGTCTTGTGAGCAACGATTTCCCTCTGCTTTCGCCACAATTTTCGTGCAGGATGATAACCTCGCGAATTTGTAAATAGCTCGCCAAACCACTGATGAATAATGGGGCCTTCGCCTCCACTAGACACAGGGAAGACAACATGGCCCATCCCACAGTCTGAATGGCTTTGAAACGGTCACCGTCAGTTTTATGAATAGTTGCGGATACCTCAGACTCGTTCGGCTCATTCCACATAAATGTAATATATTATTAGCACATTACCCTTGCCCTTCGCAACTTGTGAACAAATCATGAAACTTCGCCTGAGGGAAGGAAGAAGTGGGTTGGTTTCCCCCACCGTTTCTGTGAAGGAACACCAACAGATGACTTGACCCCGTCAGTTAGCGGCCCCCGCCGTCCAAACTAAATGGATCCATCCGTCATCCTCCATTTCCAGAATTGGCTCCACATGAAATCAGCATGCAAGGCTATATTTTGGAAAACGGCATGTGTTGCAGCTTGAACCCTCAATTCCCGAAAAATAAAGGAGCAGGATGGGGACATTGCCCCCTAAAGCGAAGATCAGTCTCATCAGTTTACTGCGTAGTGCTCTTGGGTTTACTATATTTATCTCACCCGGATAGTTGGAAGCTGGACTTACAGCAAAGATGCGCGTTATAATTATGTTCTTTCCGTACATGTGCGTGTCAATCAATTGACATCAACACTCGAATTCCGCTCTCAGAAAGTAAATCGATGCCAAGTTGATTGTCAGGCAGAGCTTGGTTACAGTTAGGTCGAAAGAAAAAGCAAATTCTCTGGATGCTTGTCCCACCTGAATCGTTTTAAAGTTCGTTGTGGCGCTTGGTTCCTGTTGATTCTTGAAGACTGAATAATAGTCAAAGAGGAAAATACAACTCCGGATATGTGTGGTTTAAATGATATAGTTAACCATATTCGGAATTACAGCATCTTTGCTGCCAACAAATTGGGGATTAGGATATTCGCCAACTCAGTGTATCTTTGTGTACAGTACTTCTGTATGTTCATGCACATGCTGCCAGGTGACTGACCACTGCATCATGAATACACGCTGCTCGTTTGCTCGTTCGCTACTTTCCTGCGGATAATGGTGTGTTGGTTTCTGGTCATCGGGACGGGCCTCAATTAAAATTTCTTTATTCCTTTGCCATTTCGCTGAAGTACTTCCTGCGTACTGTCCGTCCGAACTTGAAGCCAGCAAAAGTCACCAAAGTAACCATATCTCGTGTTCGGAACACGGAAATGTTCACGCCATACTCTCCCATCATGAAACGGACCCTGAACATAATCCTTCCAGACGAGTGTAAAAAACCGAACATTAAAATAGCTGGCTGACCGCGCCTCGGCCACTTGGAGCGCCGAAGTGACTGCATCATACGGCAAACTCCGTATGTTATTTTAACAGACAGGATTTTGGCGTCTAACTGGGGCCGAATACCCCATATTTCCACTGCTTTGAATGGCTCACAGGCTGTGCAGCGTTGCATCATTGGTACTTCAACCCTGCGAGCAGCCCACTTGTCAGACTAAGTCGAAGACCGCGCCTGTACGTATGGATGTAATTTAAAATTAAATCAATCATAATTTTACCAACCTTGTTTTCTGTCCATTGTCCCACTTTTCAATCAATGGCCATGGGGGTTAGAACCCCTTTTTGCAAGGAACCGATGGAGCCTCAAGGAGTCAAGGGCCTTTTTTTTTTTTTTTTTTTTTTTTTTTTTTGCATTCGTCCACCCCTGTAATCACCAACTTCGCTGACGCTGCGCCGCGCCTGATTCATTGATCGATCTTCTGGGTCTTTTCCCGGATACTTCACGTTCCAGCCAAAGCCGCCGTTCGTCGCCTTCGCCTTCGTCCATTTCTCGTCCCCGATGACACCAATAGTAATACCTTCCGGTACACGGGTTTCTGCAGAATCACGTCCAGTTACTACTGCCGAATCTAAAATTATGGGGACAGTGGGAAGCTGGGCCTGATTTCAAAATAACTCAGAAAGTTCAGAAAGCGTAGCCCTCGGTTGAGGCTGAAGCTGTTGAATACCTTTGCTGTGCCAACGACATGTGCGGTATGCTAGCAGTTCAAGAAGCAGAGGCAAGGAAAGGGGATTGCATCATCTCTCCGCTAGCGGCTCTCCTGTCAGCCTGCGATCGTTGCAGGAACCTGCAGGCCTGGGGAGGGGCCGTGATAGGGATGTATGGCGGGAAAGGGGGGGGGGGGTGTGGGCACTGGGATGGGGTGGGGAATGAAAAAAAAAAAAGTAAATTCGCGATAAGTATTATCCCATACAATATAAAATACCTGCATGATTATCCGCTCGTTAACTAAACAATATGCGAATATTACAGTGGCATATGTATCCAGCAAAGGTGATGATTACCGTCGCATCGGAACCCCAATTCCTGGACTATTCTTGCACTTCCTACTAGCTCACGATTTACCCAGTCAACAGCCTGGTTACAAGTTATCTATCCCATTTAGGGTTTATGAAAAGCAGAAATGAAGCCCGGACTGGACTCCATGCATGAAAATTACAGATTTTAAACATGGAAAGAAGCGCAAGCGGGGACGAATGATGATAATAAAACGGTGTGCCGCGCCCCTCCCCCCCTCGAGTCCCTCCTGCTCTTCGCCCTGTGGACGAAAACGAGGCGTCTAACATCTTACTCTCTTTTCTTTTTCTAATTATTTTAGCCTGCATAAAGCCTTTCTACTTTAAATTCCAGAGCAGACTATAAATATAATCGAATCCCGCTTTGTTGCTAAAACCGACTCGTCTTTTATCCTGATACGATAGTATAGATCGGACCCTCTATTTGCAACCCGTCACTGGTTAAACAACAAGAATACTGCACAAGCAAAGTTCCGAGAACCTGCGCGATATATATGAATAGGATATCTATCCAGGCTTCTTGAACAAACTATAAAAAAATTGGTCTCTTTCTTCCAACTCCTTGATCTTGCCATGCTTTCTTGAGCTTGCTCGGATAGCTATTCGTACGGCAACATATCTCGTATATCGGAACTCCCCACTGGACTCATTAGCTCTTTTGATTTATTCCTCACCTCTTGCGTTGCTCCAATTCCAGTCCGTGAACTTCGACTCCGAGCATTGCTTGCCAGGTGCAAGGCTCATTCCTTTATTCTAGCCTGGTCCGTGAGCGATCTCTTTTTTTGATCGGGCATCACATCAGTTTATTGCCTAAACCCTACCAAAAAAGGCACACACACGTCATCTGATTCCTCGAAATCTGCATTTAAGAAGAAAACCACCAGCGTTCGAAGTGCTCTATCTCCGTGGGACGCCAATACTATTCAGAAAACTCTTTCTATTCTGCACACAACGACTAACGACCAACGAACTTCGGAACAAAAGCTTTCTCCAGACGGCGAGGAGAGCACAACAATGGAGTACAGGCAGCGAGGATCCCTATACCTTCCTCAATCAACAATCGATTCTCAATCCTCACGAATATCCATCGGTGCTCTGCTAAATCCATCCCGGCAAACCTCCGACTCCTCTTCCCTCCCTCCAACATCTCCCCGCCCGCACGATTCTTACCACTACTACCATCGACAACAACACCAAAACCAAAACCAACACTACCCAGAGTCTTATGGACAATCGCATTACACCTCAACCCAAAATCCCACTAGTAGCCACCCATCCATAGAAAGTCAAGCGGGAGTATATTCAGATTCCCATCAGGCCCCGCACTCCGTTTCCGCGAATTCTTCTCCGGGACTCTACCCGAGAGAGCGCTTTCCATCCGTTTCAAGCGGCTCGTCCGCAATTGTCGAAAGGCGGCGTGCGCCGCGACCGAAATATGACGAAGAAGAAATGTACTTCATCTGGTACCATCGTGTCGATCTACACCAGGAGTGGAAGGAAGTGCGTGAAAGCTTTAACGCCCAGTTCCCTAATCGCCAACGGAGGGGGTTCCAGGGTATCCAGTGTAAATACTACAGATTCATCAAGGAAAAGAACTGCCCGACACTACGAGAGCAACGCCGCAGACGGAGCGGCGGCAACACCGGCGAAAACGGCAGTGAAAACATCAGCAGTGGGAGTGACGCGAATTCAAGAAACGATTTCCATGAGGATTTACCGCAATATGGGGTTATTAAGTGGACGGAAGTCAGGTTTCCGTGGATGAAGGAATGGCATACTACGCAGTCATGAAGCTTATTTATTTTATTTTAGCATTTCCCTTTTCTTTGTTTCTATTTTCTAAGATTATAGGCTGTCTACGCTTTCTGGCAATCACATATATATCCTGGACACTTTGCTTCCAGTTATGACATCGAGTTTTATATTTTATTGCTGCACGACTTTGTTTAACTGGCTGTTTTGAAGCCCTTCGTCTTCCCCTCCCCCCCCTTTTTTTCATTTTATGTCTGAACAACTAACATTATTGCCATTACCGGCATTACGACTCTCTCGACTTTAAACGGATATGCCTTTTTGTTTGGGTTTTCTCTACTTACTGGGGTGGGAATGACTCGGGACCGGTACCAGGATGCAATCTATTCAGGTGAATCGTAACTTCCGCAGCAAGCGAGCCCAGGTAGTTGGAGCAACTTTAGACCACATATTCATATAAATCATGAGTGGTGTCGGCAGTGGGGTATGTCTATCGGTTTTGTGCTTCCTGTTTATCTCTACGACTTCTCCCTTTCGTTTCACTCTATGCTGTCTTATATATGATGATTTCTACGCTTTTATTACTATGTTTAATTTTCTATTCTTTTCTTTTAAACTTCTCTTTTAGTTCTTTTTGTCTTCATGTGTATAATTTACCATCCCTTCACTTTCTACATACAGTTATACGTTTACCTACCATTTATTTATTTACTTTTGCTTTTTCTCCTCCACTTGATGTATACCCCCAAGCGGATGTTCCCATCCGTCTTTCACTGCTGGAAAACATCTTCCATCGGCTCCATGGGCTGTTTCCACAAATGGCCCGCTAATCTTAACCCAGCCTTTGGCAGCTTGACCCACTTCTCGTTTAACCCCCGTTTTCCACCGCCTAGAACAGTTGACGGACCCCTCAGGCCGCCCACTTTTGCTCTCCATCGGCTATTTCTGTCTCGGAGAACTGACAGGGCCTGAAGATTCCTGTTTCGGCGCTCGCGGCTACCCCGGATCGCAATTTGGCCCCCAGCCCCTGGTTAATCGAGAAGTCTTGATATGATCGTGTTTTTATTTGGAGACCGGGAAGCAGGAGAAATCAATGGATATCCCCCAGTTTTTCCTCTCACAGACCCAGATGCTCTTACTTTCCGAATCCTTTTGAGAGGTCATGGGTCTCCAGTATTTGTTCAATCTACGTCCCCTATTACCCCGATACATCTAAAAGTGCATCATATGGCCTGTGTCACATTAAATATAGAATACATGAATATATATATATAACTGTATCCATAGGATAGCATGCTTCTCTGTGTGATGGCAGCTCACACATCCTCAGGTGGTGTCCGAGCCAAACCCATTCCCCTTCCCGTTTCCCCAGGTGCCGGATATATCCCCTGTATACTCCGCTTGTTTTTGAATACCAGAACAACTTAGTAGGATACTGTGATAGTTTCTCTGTTTTATTCGGGATTGTTTATGAAACCATTGCCGCTTCCACTCACCACCATTCCTTTGATGCGGTATGCATCAGCCCCCTCTAAGTCAAAATTCCACCTATATATAGTAACGATCTGGCATTTGGGAATCCTATCTGCTAGGTTGTAGCTGAATGGCCAAAAACCAGTTGATGAATACTATGCAAGTACTAGTACGTGGAAGTACATAACCACAACCCAATTTGGTCGGCTCGAATGATCCAACCCTTGGATTTAACCCCCTGGATCGTCTTTTCTTCTTACCACCGGATTTGACGCATTGCAGGCGGCGCTCAAGTCACACTCACCAAGAAACAAACCCCATTTGGCCAGAATGGGCTCGAGCCTTAAGTACTTCAAAAGTTATCTGAGCATAAGTCCAATATGGTGCAACGACCGTCTTCTGATACCGGCCCATGATGGGGTGGAAATGAGCCTCTGAAATTCCGCCAGGATCTCGCTCTCTCTTTGTTATTTTTTATTACTCCATTACGGGAAAAAAAAAAAAAAAAAAAAAAAAAAAAAACAACTATTTCGCGCGTGTACGAACTTCCTTTGCAAATACCACCCTCCTTCGGTAGGATTTGTCGGCGAAGGATGTAGCTCCCAGCACGTTTCACAGAATACCTAAATAAAGCGCTTGATATCACCATCCCAAGGATACACTCAAGTGGAAGCCGCCAGGGCTGTCATTAGCGTTCGGATTTTGGGGAAAATTTGCACGTTTAGCGCCGCCCGCCTGAAACAGCGCAGGAACCCATATGCTGTCAAAACCGATATCAAATCTTCCCGAATAAAAAATAAAAAGCTCGGCTTTAACGCCCAGTTGCGTCAGCTATTAGCTGCCGCATCAGTAAGTAAAAATAGAAATGGAGAAACATAACATGGTGGAGAATATAGAATGGAGAAGGGAGAATCCCCCGCAAATTATTTTCCCCTGAAAGATCGAAACTTAGAAACAAACAAATATCAAGTAGCTCTTGAGAAACATCATGAAAAGTAAGTTTTCTCCGCCGTTATCTCCATCCCGCTGACAAAAGAGTGAGGACGGGTGCCTTTGAGAAACATGGAATAAGCTGGCTGGATAGCTATTCTTTAGAAGCGCAATAGGGATTGTGGACTCCACGTACATGTACTGTACACATACTACCAGATCATTCCAAAGGGGAGGGATTTAACTGAACAAGGCTCACTCCTGCACGGACTCCAACAGAGCAATGGGGGTGTTGTGCATCCAGTGTGGGACCATATCAAGGGTAGTCAACATGCATGGCTGCCAGCTAGGCATGCATCTGTAATCTGTGAATGTATTTTCTAAACATTCTGCTTCTTCTTCTGTTTTATTCTCTTTCCATCCTCCTATTATTGCATGGTATTGAACAGTTTTCACACGCTGATTAGTTTCAGTCATCAGTAATCACCTGTGTAGTTTATGAAACTAGAAACATGAGGATTATTAGTATTATTTTTCTCTTTTCGCGGCGCGGATGCCTGCTTTCAGCTGCTCGATAATAGCTCTCTAATGAAGTATGCAAGTAAGACGCATTTTGTTTTCATTTCATCGCTTTTTTAAAAAAAAAAAAACAAAAAACAAAAAAGAATACGGTGCTGAGAATCCTTTAGAGTACTCGTACTAGATAGTATTTAGAGCTTTTCTGCGTATTGTTAGATGTGTTGTAACACGCCAGTTTCTCCCATCTTCGGAATTTTTTATTTTATTTTTTTTTCCGTCGAATCTTGAGTTGACCCATGCTTCGCGTAGGGCGTTGTTGCGTATGGAGCTAGGATATAACGATAACGATTTAGAGTGTGTAGCGCGGACGTCATATGTGTTGTTGTTGCTATTTAAAGAAACCCCCATTCGATCAAGCCGCGATGCAAGCGTAGTAAGCTCCGACGAGATCTAGTTAAGTTCGTTATTATTCGCGGGCATGTTTTGATATCAGACGCCAACAAATAGTTCTATATATATATATATGCAGAAACGAAATAATTGTTCTAGAAACAACAGCTGGCTAGTTCGCCCCGCCAGCAGCGACGAAAACTATCAGAGGGGGTTTTTTTTTGGTCATTGCTTTGGGAAATTCTTCAGTTTTGTTTTATTTTTCAGTTTGCTTGTCTGTGCTGGGGCTGACAAGTTGATACAGATACCCTAGCGGTTTGAAAAGAGGGAGAGAGGTCTTAATAACTACTCAAGTGCCTCAAAACGCTTCTTGATGCTGTACGGAATGCACAAACATAAACCCACTGAGCAGAGTTAAAATATATATATATATATATGTATATATATATAAAATTTGCCATCACGTGAATTCAGGGGAGTGGTAATCTATGGATGTTGGGGCTGTACACAGTAAAGCCGGACACAAAATATCCGCCCCGACAATAGCCATTCCCGGAGCGTTAAGTAACTCGTATCGCCGCGTCTACCAGAATTTCCCGAAGTCAATATTTAAAAATTCCCACAATGATAACAAAGTATGATATGCCCTCCTTATACTATAGCCTCCCCCATGCCTTCCTTCTTCCCTGGGGGACATAGCACTAAGCCTGCACGCCCGGAATCCTAGACATGTAAGCATACGAAATACGTCTGCAATTTTGATATAAGTAGCAATGACTATGCTTTGAAGTGATGTGAAGCCAGCCGCGGAGAGACTTGGAGACTTGGCTGGGGCAAGACCAGATTACCAAAGAAACCGCGCAATCCTTCTAAAATATTTCTAGTAATCGTCATCAGAGTAAGCGCCATTGGAAGCACCACATCCATACTCATATTTGTCATAGTCTGCATCAAACTCCTCGTCATCGGACGCATTGCGGCGATAATTCCTGTACGCGGTATTGGTGTTATCGAATTGATCGTCGAATTCAAGTTCCTCGTCAGGGTATTCATTTGCCGGATTATCCTCAGCTATAGTACCCGAGAATAGGCGTTAGTTAAGGAGAAATAGCTGAAAATATACTCCCCAACAGACACGCAGGGAAATAGTGAGACAGAAATTCAAATGAAAATAACGAGGTATTTGGAACATCGAAAATCTTTCTTCTAGCGAGTGACAAAGGGGCGAAAGGAAAGCGGAAAAAGCCTCCCCCTCAAAAAGAAAAATGAAATGAAATGAAACGAAATGAATAATAACGTACCATTAGAATCTTCATCTTCCGAATCCCACCCTTTCCCTTCCTCGTCCGATTCTGCAAAGGATTCCCAGAAATGAAGATCTTCCTCCGTAATTACTACTACTCCAATGTCTCTCGGCGGGCCTCCGTTTTCACTAACCCACTCGCCGTTAAGAAGGTGGGCAGTGTGTGGACCAGCAGTAATTTCCTCAATGGGGCGCCTGATAAACTCATCGTAAACGTAGCTGTCATCACTGTCATCATCACTATCATGGTCGCTAGCTGTTTCAAATGTCGCAATCTGTTTTTTCGCTGGTGGGATAAAGCTTTGGCGATTGACATCTACCTCATCGTGTTGGTTTGGTTGCCCAAGCCTTGAAGAATCGGCAGATAGTCTACCATCTTTGGCATTTGCTGTGTCACCATCGTCACCTGCTCCGTCAAAGCGCGTGCCTGATGTCCCAGGTGAATCACCGGTCAACTTCGGAACTCGTGGGGGGTATCTAAGAACCGGTTTGTTCGGGGAAATTCCAACGAACCGGCCTGGTTTTCTTGGTGGAGTTTGTGGAGCAGGCTTCGGAGAAACTTCAGGCATTTCGGTGGCATTAGTTAATTCGCGGGCAAGCTCTGCCAGCTCCGTTGCAAGTTGATCAGAATCATGGTCCCATAAGCTTGGATCTTCATGTATGGACTGAGCACTTTTCGTATTCTGGGCTTTATCTCGAGCTTGTTGCGCTCGATCGAGATATCGGGATGCTTTCGATTCCTCCCTCCATCGCTTTTCAGCATCGTTGACAACAGGACGTTTTCTTATATTAACAAAAATCGTTGACTTTTCGGACGCGACAGTTGGCTTTGTGACGTTCTTAGGAGCTGTAAGTTGTGTCTCCTGATGGTCGCCACTGACTTTCACTTCCTCTATCTTGCTTGCTAGGTCATCCAATACAATCGATGCCCTCGCATCATCTACTTGATGAGATCTTTTTTCAATGACTACAGCCCTGCTCTTTACCCGATCGCCTCTATTCTTAAGTACGCCTCCCGAGACCTTGTGCAGAAGCTTTTGGGAGGGGCTCGCAAAATCTCCACTTGGAGCGGTTATATGAAACCGACGTAGAGCGGAGGAAGGCGAACTTATGACCGAAGAGGACCCAGAGCGATTTCTCACCGGAGAAACAAACGGTTTTGTAGCAGGTGAGGCTCGCAAGACTGATGACGCCGGTGATAATGGAGGCAAAAGTTTTTTGCCCAAAGAACCTTCCTTCTTGGACATAATTTGCCTGGTTTTGAGCTCCGATCCTGGAGCCGTAGCTCGTACAGCCGGCACCCCATGACTGATATTAGACGTACTTGCTGACCTGGGGCCTTTGATATTCTCCCTTGGAGAAGCTCCCTGCATTGTGCCCAAGTCAGTCTTGGGACTAACCCCTTTATCTGGCCTTCGCACAACACGCTGAAAGCAGAAGTCCGTGAACCGCCGTTTGGGTTGATGAGTCTGAGACTGAATATCTGTTGACCAGTGAGTTAGAGGGGGGAGGGGGATTCTCTAAAGATAGAAACCAACGGGCAAACATTGAATTGTAAGGGGGGAAAAATGAAGCGAGAGCACGAGTCAGCATCTCAAGACGCTGGTTCGAAACTCGAATGCCTCTGAAACCACAAAACATGAATCCCAGAATTTAGGACACAGAGATGGCCAAAGAGGCTAGTAGAATTGTTGTACCCAGGAATTCCCACCGGCAACTCAATGTGTTGCAAGGCACACATTGAAATTAGATTCAAAAAACAAAAGAGTATCAAAAATATGAAATCACATACACAGAGTCTCAACAGGTTCCTCCTCTCTCCTCCTTTTGATTCGAATATGCTCGGGAAGCAACGACATGATTTTCCTCTTTTCGCTTCCTTATCTTTGACGTGTTGAGAAAGAGATTGTTCCTCCCTCCGACTGCCCCGTCTCAATATGACGTGCCTTCCACCTTCAATACCCCCAGACGATAGCTATTAAATGACTTGGACAGATACCGTAACGGCCTCCTAGTAGTGGTAGAGGTTAAAAACAAAGGTTTCCCACGGAAGCGAACTCTTCGGGAGGCTCCCAAGAAAAAGCTAATGGCCAACTGAAAGGAATTAAATGCTGCAATGGGTTCCATGCATGAGATACGCAGTAACGCGGGTGCGCAGTACGTGGGCGTGGGTGTTTGGTAGATAGTAGCCAAGCCAATTCACTTCTCAACATCCATTCCAGAATTGAAACATGTGCAGGACAAAAACACTAAATAGCACACTCTATATCGAGACGTTGTGTGTTTCTATCGTGAAAAAAAGATATGAAGAAGATGGAGGAGTTTCAACTTCGTTGAAATATAAGCTCCGTTGAGTCTTGTTGATGTTGTTTGATGTTGATCCTTCCTAGAAGCAAAATGGAGATGGACGAATCTGATATATCACGTGGTAGAAACCTTTCAACCTCGGCCTCGCCTTATTGAAAGCGAGAAGGCGGGTGAGCGTACAACAAAGGCCAGGATTGTTTAATTATTTTTGTATTTTTGTATTTATTTTATTTACAATTAACTACGTTGTATTTTGCTATCAGTAATTATGTATATGAATATTATAACAGTGAGGGGAAAATAAAGGAGAAGGTGGATATCAAGGGTAAACGAGGAGAATAAATATTTATTTGCCCCTTGCAGGCCATTCATTCCATCCATCGAACCTCCCTTGAGCAGTGTGTGATGAATGAAAAAAATCTTAGTCGATTACCGTTTCATTTTCTCCCTAATTCAGAATCTATCCTTCGGTAGTAACCCCGGCCGCCTCCCACACATTAACCTCCGAAGGGCAAAATAAAAGAGCAGAACCACTCCAATTACAGTGGGTGATGATGGTGGTGGTGGTGATGATGATGATGACGATGACAATGCGGATGCAGCAGCAGAAAGACAGGAAGAAAAAAGGGAAAATAATAACGAACAAAAAGTATTAAATAAAATTCTCGAATATGGCATCGTAAAATGGAAAAATGGTCAAGGAAGCAAAAGAAAAGAAAGAAGAAAGTAAAAACATAGGATAAAGTGCAATAAGCAGGTTAAGAAAAAAGGGGTATGCAAAATGAAAGTTTTAATGAAATAAAAAAATGAAATAATAAAATAGCCAAATAATCCAAGATGGGGCCGTCTCGTATCTCACCTCGCTTGTCTTTAGCTTATTGCATCACAGCGAATTGAAAAAAAAAAAAAATGCTGGTGAATCGATTCGAAGTCAGGAAAGTGGCGAGTCGAGATAAGCATTAAGAGGAGATATATTAGATTAAAAACGGATGATGACAACGTTGGCACTCGGGGGCATCACGAAAAGATGATAGGCAATATTCGAAGAATGAGATCAAAATTTAAACAACATAATTATAAACCAATACAAGAATGGGAAGATTAAAAGAACAAGAAAGAGAGTTAAGGAAATAAAAATGAGATAAAAATTAAGCCTTAGATAATTAAAAACCAAAAAAGGGAATACAAGAAAGGAGAACGAAAGCGCATGGAAGCGAAACAATTCCAGGTCGACTCGGATTCTGAAACAGTTCATTTCGCTCCGATCTCTTCTTCAGCCCAGCCAGGGAGAGATCCTTCGTTGGAAATGGACAACCCAAATCCGTTGTGGTTCAACCCACCTAGCCCGCCACCGAAACCTGAAAAACTTCCCTGGGTTTGGTGATGAGACATTCCACTCCGGTGTTGGTGCGGTTGGTTTGAGCCCTGACCGAAAGCCTCTTGCGAAAAGGACGGGAGGCTGACAGCGCGGGAGTGTTGCGATCGTGGGACACTCAGGGAATTGCCGCTAGTGACGCCGTGTGTCGAATTTGGTGTACCAGCAGAAACATTCAAAAATCCGTGAGTGGATCCTTTGGACTGATGCATCGAGTTTCCATTTGGCAGGTCATTCGATCCTGCTCCGTTATAGAGGGTGGCTTGTTGATGGGCTAGTGCCTGTTGCTGCTGCTGCTGGAGGGTTGCCAGAGTAATAGGGTCATTCATGCGATTTTCTTGTTCCTGCGCCTGTTGCTGAGAGATTTGGTTCAGATAGAGCGTCAGGGGATTGTTGCTTCCAGCATTTAGGATGGCAGATGGAGTTGCCGCGAGTGGGATTTGCCGACCGTGCCCATTTTGCGAATGTGAACCTGTGGAGCCTGGTGCTGGAGATAACGCTGGCCTTGTTGGACTGGATTGAGATCCGTTTTGTTGCAGGTTCCCGTTCAAAGTAGGAGAGGACTGATTACCATCTCGGTTCTGGCCATTGCTGTTGATCTGACGGGGAGGGTTCCCGCAGCGATCCTTTCCAAAATTGATTTTGAACCGCTTGTATTCCTCTCGGCTGCGCATTGCCTCAATTGCCTTGATGGCATTCGCAATGTTGGTGAAGTTGACAAACGCACAGCTCTTCTCACGCAAAGCGTTGACCAATTCGATTTCACCATAGGAAGAGAAATCTTGGCGTAGGCGTTCTTCGGTCCAGGTTTCATCCAGGTTACCGATGTACACATTCCGGGATGCCCCACCACTTACTGCCAATGCAATGGCAGGAGGCAGGGCGCCGGAATGTTTGCCCCAACCAATTTTAAGCCGCCTGTTATGGATCATCAAACCCTGCAAGTTGCTAAGAGCATAAAACGAGGCAGCAGATGTGGGGTCAATAAAGGTGACGAAACAAATATGTTTGTCGGGAATGTAGCGGATGTGGTGCAACAGGCCGCCCCGTACGACGTTGCAAATCTCCTCAATGGTTGTTTCAGGGTGAATATTTCCTAAGTAAACGGTCCTATTTCCTAGGTTGTTTACACCACCGGCGCTAGTGGCAACTGCGGCTGCTGCAACAGATTGCTGGGCCAACGCATTCGAGATCAGATCACGATCAGCCGAATTGAGGATATGAGCATAACCTGGAGCGATCCCTAGATACTGGGCGGCATTTTGCTGCTGGGTCTTGGAAACATAGGCGCAGCGATCCTTCCCATAGTACACGCGTTTTGGTGCTTGCCACTTGGTCTCTTGGGGTAGTTGGGTAACAGCTTTAATTGCATTGCTGATGGACAAGAAATGCACGAATCCAATCGACTTCTCCTTGACGATCTTTATCGTATCAATTGGGCCAAATTTTCCCAGATCTTCACGTAACTCCTCCTCAGTAACATCTTCCGCGAGATTCCCTAGGTAAACGTTTCTCGAGGCTCCGGATTGTTGGACCGCCAATGCCACGGAGGTTGGAACCTGGGAAGGCTTACCCCAGCCGATTTTGATATCATTTCCCTTGATGGCGAGTTTCTTCAAAATCGCATCAGAGTGGAAGTGAGTGGCGGAACTGCTCTCCAAGAAAGAGATAAAGGCACAGTTTTTGTCTGGGAGTAGCCGAACTGACTCGATCTGACCGCTACGAACATGGCCGAGGATCTCCTCTGCAGATGTTTCAGCGGGAAGGTTTCCCAGATAAACGGTCCGGCTAGTTCCTGAGATGATCCCTGGGCCTTGGAGGGAGACATTCGCGGCACTAAAAGCGGCATTCGCAAACCCGGGGAAAGAGCCAACAGGAGATTGAGGACCAGCCATGAGCTGGGAGCCATTGAAGCCATCTGGTGACATCAGGCTTTGGTACAGCTGTGGCGAGAGGGCATTCTGATGAGCCTGGGTGGGGCTTCCCATCTGGTTCTGGTTCTGGTTATGTCCTGACCCGTTAGTCTGGGGGAAACTCTGGAATCCGGTGAACTACTGGGGGAAGCGAAAGCAGACGGCGTGCCAGGTTGAAATGGACTTCCGAGAAGAAGCTGGGATGGAAGCAGCGGTGTGAAGTTCATATCGAAGGCAGCCGTTCCAGTGGCAGACACTTCTCCAGGATTTTGTCCATTCATACCGGTATTGATGGAAGGGATATTGGCTCTACGAGAGTTGCGATCGCCGAAACCCACGTTGTTTGAGGCGTATGCTCCGTGAGAGAAGCCAGTGGCGTCAGCGCTCATATTAGGGAGTTTAGAACCGGGTTGCTGCATTGTTGGGATTTGGCGATATGACGGGAATTCTCTTCGGATATTGGCCACGACGGTATTATCTCGTATCCCGGTTGATATGGTCGTGGTGAGAAGATATCAGCTGTTCAAGTTATGATTCTGGCGGCTTCAGCCGCAGGAGACTGGAACGAGAGGAGGTTTATATAGTAAATGCAGTCGCTTATCGAAGTTAAAGGAGGAAGCGAAGAGGATCGAGTGCAGAAAGCTGAATAGCGACACAGAATATTAATTAGTTTAACTGTAGAATGGGTCCCGCATCGTGAGCATGGAGCAATGGGAAGAGGCTGATATGAGAATTCAATCTCAAATGGGAGGGGAGGTGAATGTGGTTGGTACCTTCACCAGCACAGATTCCCCATACAAGGTCAAATGAGATAAAGAATCCAGCCACGATGGGTCCTTTCGGGAACGGGGTGTCCTTACCTAGATCCAGAGTACAACACCACGTTCTCGTTTGTCGGGTTTATGAGCGGGAATCACATCCAAGACAAAGGATTTACCAGAGCCGCGTATATCCTCCAGAACAGTGAGGGTTTGGGAGCGAAGAAGCAAGAGAACAACGCTGAGATCCCAACAAGTGAAGGCCCTGACAAGGGATGTAATTCCGGTCAAAAAAGCGAAATACCAATATATATATGTGACAGGAAAAGGATGGTATGGTATTATAGGAAGCGGGCCAAAAAAAAAAAAGAGATGAAAAAATTAAATGAACAAATTAGCAAAAGGGGAAAAAAAAAAGCACCGGAAAAAGAAAAAGGAGGCTAAACGAGCGTCGAGAAACGAGAGCGGGCACAATGAACGAGAGTGGAAACGATGCCGGAGCACCAATATAAGGATAAAAAGAATAATCAACAATGTAGAGACAGGTGGAGAGAAGAAGATGAAGAAGAAGAGAAGAAGATGGGAGGTGGAGCGAGGTGGAGAGGAGGAACTGGAATGAGAAGAGAGAGGCTTGTCCCAGCGAAAAGGAGAAGGAGAATACCGTTTGGTCAGGAGACACCGTATGTTTGCAGGCGCATTTGACCGTATTGGCCGTATTGGCCGTATTGGGCTGTTATTTACCAGGGCAACCTGTCCCCTGCGGGGTATTTTTGGGCGCCAATACCAAACCGCCGGATGCCCGTTGCTGCTATTGCTGCTGTTGCTGTCGCCGCTGCATGAAATCAATTTACCCAGCCACAGGATACCGGGCTCCCCTGGTCAGTGGTTGCGATGTGTGCAGAAATCTGAAATCTGTTGCCCGTTCCATGCCTTAGTATTCAGCGTAAAAATTCGTACTGAAAGAACAGCATCTTGTTCCTGCACACATTCACTTGTCTAGCTAATAAATAATTCCCGACCAAAATACGCATGGACTCGCTGTTGGCCCAGCCATGACTTTTTGTCCCTCCAGATAAGCTAGCCTCAGGGGAAGAGCCCTGGATCCGTTGGTTCAGAAGGCAGAGGTACCTGACTATGATCAATACGGCCTAGTGTTATTCTTTTTATATTTCAAGGTTTCTTATTTTACAGGCGGCGGTTTTATAACCCGTAACGAGTGAGAGTTGCATCTTCTGCTGCTCGTGTGGTTGAAAGACTTCTTCCTTATCTTATTCTCCGTCTTCAGCCTGAAGATCGTCCACCCGCTTGCAAACCGACGGATAATTCTATTAATGTCAGCATCCAGAGGGACCTCTTTCACAGCTCCGGTGTCTCTGAAACAATGTGGGGTGTCTCAGTGTCCCTGCGTCCCTATAGCTCCCATTCATTAATCCATGGATGGAACTCCGCTGGAGGACCGAACTTTTTGAGTTAATCGATGGAGGAGTTGGAACTTGGATTTGTTTTGTTATGGAAGAGACAGGATCCCTTTTACCAAGGGAGCCAAAATCCAAATTCCTTAAAATTTTGAGAGATACCAAAAGCTTTTTGTCCCGACTTTACGGGAAATAAGAACAAGCGACGGTCAGTTTTCTACAAATGAAACTGCTTCTGCGGCCCCCTCCTTTTTTTTTTTTTTTTTTTTTTTTTTTTGGTGAAATTGGAACAATGACGTGCCTTGTATATATCATGGCCAACCCGCACACACATTTGTTACCATTTCACCAACTATTCCATCTACATCTAGGTATCGGTTAGCCCGAATTTTCTAGAACTGTTTTAAGGCCCTCCCCTCCCTCTCCCATCCCCGCACACACATCAAATATGCAACATCATTCCGATGTTTTAAAATTATGCACCGAGAAAATCTGGGCTCGCAGCACTTCCTTATGCGGCTGCTGAGCGTGGTGGTCTGACAGGCAGGGACCTAGACTTGCGCTTATTTCCCAGTAGCAGTTTCTGTCTAGTATTATCCGATGCGTACATAGGTAGCAACATGCATAGGATGTTTGGCTTGCTATCCACATGGGAATAGCATATGCCTTTATTTTATTTATTTTATTTTCTTTATTTTTCTTCTCTTTTCTCTTTTCCTTTTAATTCTATTCGTCGATATAGTTAGTTATTATGTCAAGGATGATTCTGCCAATAGCTACTGCGTATCCATTCGAAAACATCTTTTACGGGAAGATACACATACACTAGGTACAGCTTCCATCGCCGAAATCAGCTGCAGAATGGATGGATGACGGGGTTTACCCTTGCTTTTGCTTGATACAGACTACAAAATATAACACTTGTGTGTCCGAATTCTCCAACATGGGGGAGAGGAGGTAAAGATCCATCTTATACATGATAGGGAGAAGTCGGGAATCTTTCATCTTCCTACGTGGCTGGTCCCTTGCGCTGTAGCAATGCACAAGCAACCCCCGCCCCCCAACACTGGCCTATCCTCTCCTGTCCGGCTTCATCATACGCAGGGCGCTCTGTACGCAGTATATATCACGATCAACATATTGGAACGTTGGAATGTCGATCGACCGTTGCTTTTGGACTAGCTAACTACTTTGTGTGACTAAAGGAGTACAAAAAAACTACTCCGGCATCTCGCGCGTGGTGTCCGCGCGCAACAAGAAGAGAACTGTTGTAGTGTGTGCATGCAGGGGTGTAAAATATCTCTGCCGCGCTTTGTGTTCATTCATTTCGTAGGTTAGTTAGCAACCCAAAAAGGGACATTCTGAAGTAGAGGTATGTACTGTACTGCATAAACAAACTCTCATCACACTCGCAGGCCAACACTGGGGACCTGCGAACGGATAGCGCAGAGTTCATTTACTTTTTTTTTTTTTTTTAAAAAAAAAAAAAGAATGTGGACGCGTTCACTCATTTATTCTAATGCGGACTTTTTGCCAATGTAGTGGTGTACTAGTAGTATTTTTTTTATCTCGTTCGATTTGCTTTAAACGAGAAACAAACCCCGTGAAAAAGTGTATGTATGTATGTGTGTGTGTGTGTGTGTGTGTGTTTGAGGAGGCGTTTAGTATTTTTGCTCTCATGACTGTCACCGATACCCCTCGATAGGCAGTTACCATGATCCCCCAAGGATTGATACATGGGCACACAGTTCCTCACCCGTAGGAAAGGGAAAGGCCTAGGTTAAACATGAGGCTATTTTCACGGATGCTGATGCCACCGATCACCGAATTTGCTCCATCCAATTGACGACGGGCTTCATCAGTTGGAGCAGTTCAAAACTCGCACAGACATACAGATATCGTTTCGCCCTTTTCAAAATATCTGGATTGATTGAGAAGTTGGGAGTTAGGTTCCAAGTTGTTCATTGTGGGGACGAGCATTTGCATTACAAAGCATGATTCCCGAACCTTTCACACTGATTGAATCCAGTCTGAGGCTTCAGGGCTAGATTGTCTGTTTTCCCATTCTGATTCCAATCCACGCATGTCTGGAGCGGAATCTGCGAGGGCCGACTTGCATGCCAAGGCTTCTCAGGCGCGATTCTGCATCGGTGGCTCTCTCGTATTGAAGGTGAAGTGAAGTGTGAGGCCCGGGTTGGCGGGAAGCTGAGTAATTGGGAGCGCGGTTTTCCGGTTGAATCCGGCGTACGAGTATGGTTTCGCTGGTGGGAATGTGATGGAGCACATTGGGGCTCTGTTGTGAACGATTTCAAGTTTCTAGAGTACTGGTATGCAGCGTAGGCGATTTGTGGCCAGAAAATGAATAATGGTAGAAAACGACCAGTGAGAGAAAACCAGAAGTGAAATGACTGATGATTGAGCAAAAGCGGTGGATTTAGCAACTGCGAGTTTTCGTCCTCCCAGAGCTTCTAACTAGTAAAGATACATTGGGGTTAAGATTAAGGATCAGAGTTGCTCGTGAGTTGAGGTCCTGCACGGTATGAAAAATTGCTTCCATTAACACATCTATGTCTAGATGAGCGTTGATATCGATCTGATGTTGAGATATAGTACATTATTTTTGGTAGAAATTGGATACCGGCCCGCGTTCAGTCGGATTTTGCACCCAAGCCGAAGGCCGTCGGGCACCGCTGGTCGTGGCTCAAGTAGATTAATAATTGCACGGTGTTGCGCGGGAGATTGGATATCGAGCGCACGCCGAGGGACCCCTTGGGGAAGGAGGAGGATATACACCTAGGCCGAAGGAGTATATAAGACATGCTCAATTCCCGTCCTCTGAGCTCACAATTATAAGAAGAAAGAAAGAAAAGACAAAAGGCATTCTTAAACACTCTAAGGAAAAGGAAATCCAGAATCTAGGAAAACACAAGGATTGAAATACCGCAGAGGGAAAGATGGCACCACCCAAACCCCTCGTCCTGCTGGCAAACTTATCGGGCCCAATCCATTCAAAGTAGCCCTGATCCTCGGCGAGCTAAACCTCCCCTACACCATCGACCCCATCGAATTAGCCGACGTGAAAACCCCCGCCGTCATCTCCCTTAACCCCAACGGCCGCCTCCCAGCCCTCACCGACCCAATCACAGGCCTCACGATCTGGGAATCCGGCGCAATCATCGAATACCTAGTAGCCACGTACGATAACGGACCAAAGCGCAAGCTGAGCTTCGAGCCCGGCAGTGTAGACCACTGGCATGCCATCCAGTGGCTGCACTTCCAAATGTCCGGTCAGGGTCCGTATTTCGGACAGTCGTTCTGGTTTCAGAACCACCATCCGGAGATTTTGCCCAGCGCGATCACGCGGTATGAGAATGAGGCGAGACGGGTTTGCAGTGTGTTGGATGGGTGGTTGGGGGGTAGGCTGGGGGTTAGTGGTGGCGGGATTGGGAAGGAAAGGAAGTATCTCGTTGCAGAGAAGTGTTCGTTTGCGGACTTGGCGTTTATCCCGTGGCAAGAGAATGTACAGAAGTGTATTCGTTATGGCGCGGATGGGGGTGCGTTTGATCAGGAGAAGGAGTTCCCCCATATGCATGCTTGGCTCGAGCGGATAAAGGGCCGCGAGGCTGTGAAGAAGGCCTTCGTGGCGCGTGCGGAGGCTAAAAAGGGCCAGACGGAACGGGAGGTGAAGAAGTAGGTTGTGGAATGTGGCGGTTTTTGGAGGTAACGATTGTGGGTTGGGATAGTGATGAGAGCATTCAGCTAATTGGATAACAATGCTGATGCTATGTAATTGAAACAACAATGAGGTATATGCATATATTAGAATTCATCACTTCTCATTCTCAACGAAGACTCCCTTGTGTTTTTTCATCTCACTCCTTGTCTCTCCCTTTCTACCCCTTCATTCATACATCTTTGTAGTTATGAAATATAAACAACACTGAGACAGGTATGTGGATTAACATGTTGACAGAATGAAACAAAGTAAAAAGTACATCTGAACTGGAAGGAAATCAGTGTACACATAATCATAGCATAGCCATATAGAGCCATGACATAGAAGAACAAAACCACATGGGAAAGAAGAAAGACACAAATAATGGTGGTGAAACATGTGAGACCTGCATGCATGCAGTTGATGCATTGTTCATTGTCATTAGTCATGCAAACATAAAAGAGGGGTAGGGAGAAAATGTGCGCATAGGAGACAGAAGGAATAAAATTATTCAATCCTCGCAATCTAATTTACGCTGACCATGATCACGGCCAGAGTCTCGGGTTGCACAGATAGAAGCAGAATGCTCAACAACCTTCCCGTGCCCTATATTTTCCTGGCGAAGAAGATAACTACCATCACCACTACCCACCGTCACTGTCTTTTTCTCATTTTCAGCAGTTGTCGTGGAGAAAGCATCATCATTTGGATCTGCAATAATGTACGGCATGACGAGATCGAAATTCCGTGAGGTGTTCATGCCGCTGTCTACATTGTGACGGGGAGAGAATGAAGGTCGTTGATGATGTGTTGTCAGATGTGGTGGGGGATGAGTAGTGGTAGCCATATATGCAGCTGGCTCGGTAGGGCTGTCCAGCAATGATGAAGCAGCAGATGTTGTTGGTGAGTGCGCTAGGGACGGTACCTGGATGGTGCTTTGGCCGCTAGTTGTGGAGACGCTGGCAGAGCTATGGTGGGCTATGGGGACGGGACGGGGATGGATGGTACCATCGTCATTATTGATGATATCGTTAGAAGTACCATTTTCGTCTGCAATTTTGAAGTCGGTGGTGTTGCTTGTGTTGCTGCCATTGTCCGTGACAATATTAGACGGTGCTGACTTTTGAAATAGGGATAGATAACGGAATGCTTCGCTGGACATTAAGGGATTGGTAGCTCGGTGAGGAATCTTTGGTTTCCACTCGGAGTCCAGTTCCGAGGCGGTGCCTTTTTGATTGTCCACGGGGATTCGAATTGGAGGAGACGGGGAATTTGACGCTGGCTGCGTGGGAGCCATTGGAACACCAATGGATTTAGACGCGACGGATGATGAGGGGGATGCAGGAGGAGAAAGTTTAGAGGAAGTCATTCTTCCAGATGTCATTTGAAAGGTGTCAGGGGGTTTGGTTGAATCCTTTCGACGACAGCTGCATGCACGAGGTTAGAGTATGAAATAATGTGATGGAGAAAGATCTTCGTTTGAGGAACTTTGGATCGATGCATATATTGGTGTTTAGGGTAATGTATGTACCTTTCACTGCAGTAGAGAAATGAATCACTTGGAATCATAATCTGTCTCTCGCACGTGGTACTGCATCATTGTCAGCAAAATAAAACAGATCAATCAATGCATAGAGGACGAGAAGGACGAGAAGGACGAGAAACATATATCGCAAACGACTGTAGGATCTAACTAGAACATACCAGAACTGAAGGAAAACAGTGGCCATGAAGCGATCTTCCTCGTCGTCAGGTCCAACTCCTTGCTTAACCGCACCTGGCCAGGCGGTTCGTTTCCGAGACCTTGGCAGAGAGGGATTTGAGGTAGTTGGCCTGGCGACAAATTGACGGACAACTCGCTGGCCTCTTAACGATATAACAGGTTTCTGGACATTGTCGCAGGCTGGGGAGAGAAGAGTGCGTTTATTGTGAGAGGGGTGAAGAGGGCATGACGAGGGGTTAGCGGATATCTGATATATGGGAGCGGGACAACGGCGTTGTTGATGGGTCATGAGGGCGGTGAGACCACCTGCTATAATTGGACGGCCGCTAGTTTAAGCCCCGGTGGAAGGGACATCAGATATTTCTGTATTTGCGAAATATGGATGTGGAAATGGATGGGCAAAATGACAGCTATAACGAGCGTAGTCAGAGGCGTTGTTGCTTGGATAGATAGATAGTCGGGCGTTATCTGAGGGCGCAGGAGCAGAACAGACATCTGGTATTCTTTAAATACCCGTCCTTTAGGTACTTCTTCCCCTTCTCTTATCTTTAGTTTTATCTATCTTTATATCCTTTCTTTACGGCTTGCCTCTCTGCTGGCCTGGGCTGCGGCTGGGTCTCCCGTCCCGTCTCCACAGCTTATAAGGCGTGACGACGGGATTGGATAGCGTTATCTCTTTTCTTTCTCCCCACGCCTTTCCCTCGCCGTTTTTCGAAGCCTTCTTTTGACCTCTGCCTGTGGCTCTCTATCTGATCTCAGCCGCCAAGTACAAGTACAGGTACATGGACAGCACTTGTACCTAGATCAGTCCCGTCGCTATCCGAAGTGAAGCCGCAGCCAGGAACACGTTCTAATTGGCCAATTTTGCCTCTGGCAGGGGTTCAGGCCCTTAGCAACGAAGCGCTTGGCTGTGAACACTGGCCGAACGGGAGAAGATCACTGCGGGGGGTCTGTACTCCAGACATCATCAGCAACTTGACTCAAGGAATCATTAGCCAAGCCTGGAAGCCCTCAACGGGGTGGGGACATGGCGTGCTCTCTCTCGCTGACATCAATGATACTGCATGAAATGATGAAGGTTCTCACTGGTGGATTACTTCTTTTTTTTTTCGTTCTTTCCCTACTCCTTCTCGTTGCGCGATTTCGCAATCGGAGAAGAGAATTTGCGTATCTCACCGACTTATTTCTCTCTTCTCCTCATACTTTCTCTTATCTTGAGTTCTGCACAGGGATCAAGGGCAAATCGTAAATACTGATAGGTATTTAAATGACTAGCATAGATAAGTCGGATTCTATATATAGATAGCACAAAACAAGGTTTTGTCAAACAGAAGAGAATGTCCATGATGCTTTCTTTCATCTTCTCTTTGTTCATGAGATCATGGTAAAAAGTCAAGTTGAAACAAATTGGTGGTGACCACGCAGACGGGTCTCGGGAGATATAAGGTTACCTAGGTTTAGACAGAACCAAAACCGCAGTCGACAGTTAGAATTGAACTTGCCTAATCACAGACAGCAAACAGGGACCTTTCAAACAATATGCAGATGAGAGAGTGTATGTATATACATATGTATCTATCCTTTATATCACTTATATCATCATCCACTATTCTTCCCTCTCAGTTGACAACTCCCATTCGAAACATGTTAATTTTGGCTTCACTCATACTGTTTCAGGCAACTCGCTTCCGTGGTTCGGCCGGGATCCAATACTTAAAAGAAGCGAAGTAGGAAACCCTATTAACACATAATCAATACTGCGAGAAGGTTAAGTTATCCTTTGTCCCAAACCCAGTGCCGATTCGAGGAAAAGCCAAGATGAGGTTAACTCTGGCCAGACAAAGAACTGTATTGGTAGATACTTTAGCTTGCAAGCAAGGTAAGGTTGAGGAGAGAGATCAAAACGGGAATGTTCAATCAATGGGCGAATGAAAAGTGGCGGGAAAAACAAAAATCAAAATAAAATTAAATTAAAAATTTGGGATATCAAAATTAAGTAAAATACACTCGTCACCCCCCTTCAACTTCATCCCCAACCCTACTCTTACCTGCGCTCCTCGTATTCCCGCTGCCGCTTTCACCCACTATTCCACCGCCATTGCCGTCGTCACCCACCAAAACCGCAGTCGGCGGTGGTGGTGCATTCGGCGCCAAAAACCTCTCAGGAACCCCCCTAGCGCCCACCCCGATAGGCCCTACAAAACATCCTAGCAACCCACTCCACGCATACCGATTGGCCAGTGTCTGGCGGATCTCGCGGTACGCGACGGCGTTGGCGTACGGGAGCTTTGTTTCTGGGTCACGGTAATGGGCTGGGCGGGAGGTTATGGGACAGAGTTCTTGGGTGATTTCTGTTTTTTGGGGGGCAAAGGTTAGTATTGGTCAGCGTTATGGTGTTTCGTTTTCTTCTTTTTCTTTCTTCCTTTTTTTTTTTTTTTTTTTCGTTCAATGGTTGCGGCAAAGTCGGAGGGGAACAAATAAAATAAGAGGAGGGAGCCGTGGTGGCAGTGGGAGCAAAGGGAGGAGAGGAGGGCTTACTTTGTAGCTTTTGCGGTTTGCGAGAGTTGAAGAATATGTTAAATTCTTCTCGTTCTTGTGGGGTTTTATTTTCGAAGCTTTCGAGGATTAGCAGGTTACGGGATGAATATTCGATCGTTGGAGGTGGTGTAGGTATAGGTAGTTGTGATTGTTCTGGTTGAGCTTCTAGTGGTTGGGCGGTAGGAGGGTGTGTGAGCGGAGATTTTGATTCAGATTGCATCTGAATCTGTGTCCGCTGATCTTGAGCATCTCTGATATTCTCATCGATATGTATGGTTGGTGGTCCGGGTTGGTTATCCTTTTGCTGCTGTAATAACGATGGTGATGCCACTGCTGCTGCTGCTGCTGCTGGGTTTCCTTCAGACCTAGTTACCATTTCTATCTGCGGAAATAGCTTCTGGGATTCTTGATTCTCTGGTTTGGTTGGCAGCAGGGTCGATTCCGATCCCTTCGACGTGACTTCAGAATATTCCGGGATCGCTTCAGTCATTGATGTTCCTTCCATTGATACTGATTGAGACGGCGGAGTTTTTGAGGGTGGTTTAGGCACCGCCGAGGATTTTGATGCTTCAGGTACTGGTCCCGGTACTGGTTGTGCCTGCGTAGAAGATGGCGTTTGGCCAGATATGGCAGACACCTGCGCTGTATCATCTTTCATAGCGGCGTAAATATGAATCCCATCCAAAAAATTTGATGGCTCTTGCGGCGATGTAAAAGTGATCTGTTGTTCCGGTTGGCAATCTCTCTTCGTTTCCTGCGTTTGCCCCTCTACTGCTGGTTTCCCAGCCGGCGTATCTGGACTTTTTTCCTGAAGTGGTGGGATAGTTTTACCACCACCTTCTTCCCCAACCCTGTCCGTCTTCTTAGATTTACCCCTCCTAGGAGAATGATCATTATCCTTAACACCCTTTTTTTTCTTCTCCACCTCCGGCACCCGTCTAATTTCCTTCGTACCGACCTGTGTCAGTTTCCCATTAACCCATTTCGCAAGTCCACTCCACCATGTCGCAACAGCGCCTTCCAGTCTTCTATAAAACAAAAGAACTCAACATGCCTTTTGCTCCTCACTTCGTTTTCTCTCCATCTGTTCCCACCGGTTCAAGCTCTTACTATTCAGCCGCTCCGTCTTTGCTGCCTCCGCCAATCGCTCCTGCTGCGTCATCACTTTCGGTTTCAATTTCTCCTTGCGCCTTGCGGCCTCCTCCATCGTCGCTATCAGTCTCACTCGCCTCTGTTCACTATCCTTTAACCTCGCGTGCGTGAGCTCCTTGTTCTGCATCGTCTGCCTTCTAGACGAGGAACGAGTTGGACCATCCTCTGGCGTCGGCAACCACGATACCCGCTCCGATTTCTTCTTAGGGCGCGGCTGCACACCCCCAGTCTCACTGGCCTCCTTCGTCGCGGTCGGGTTAATCTTCACCCTTTTCCGAAACGCCGGAATCTTCATCATACTGTCCTGCTCCTTCCGCTTCCTCGCCAGCCGCTCCGCTCTAGCCTGTCTCTCGAGCTCCTTCTCTCCTTCTAACTCATCCTCCTGCGCATTAGGGCCCTGGTCATCTTCGTCATCTGATGAAGAATCAAGTTGCATGTCATCCACTTCATCCTCAGCAACTTCACCTTCCTCCCCCGCAGCACCTTCATCGCCACTTGTGAATTCTTCATCATCTTCTTCTTCCGCGAACAGGAGGGCGAGTTCATCGTCGGCCTCTGCATCAAGAAGCGCACCCATGTTCTTGCCCGCGGTGCTCCGCCGGGCTCGTCCCTCCACAAGGCTTTCGACGGGTTCGTCATCGGAGCTGGTGCTGGTACTAGTCATTGGTGAGTCGTCTGGTGCCATTGGAGCTAAGGGGTATAGGGAAAGTGGGCAGGTCTGCTCGATGGATATTGGCGCCTTTCGAGAAGGACTGAAACGGGCTTGGAGATATTACGACGATAGTTAGATATAACTTTCTAATGAAGAGGAAACATGATCGGTGGCGGCGGCATATCTCCACAGAGGTTGGAAAATTGTAGGCGAACTTAGGGTAGACGCGACGTATGAACTGAGGAATATTCTATTAAACCATCACCCCTTTATGGTGGCAGCCGATAAGGGTTCATAAAAGATAAACCTTTTCTAGCTTGTTGTATTTTCCATCTCTTTGGGTTCAAGGATGCTTGCTTAGATAAACAACCTCAAATTGTGGCTAGTGGATTCCAGACGCCACTTTAAGGTTTGTGCCACACGACCAAAGGCGGATGGCATCTTTAAACTTAAACAAATACCTTGACGCGTCTACACCCACATGCTTGGAATCTTCGATTTAAGTATGCAAAACAAAAGTCTTACGACAAAATTCGACCCCAGACCACCCGTTTACTGAATATTGAGTGACCGTTACCATTTGACTGAGAAACATATATCCCATGTTTTCGAAGTCTAGACCTATGGTTGTTAGCCAAGGCTTCCTGGATACCCCCAATATTAGGTATTATTAGCTGCTGGTAAGGATTGGTAGGACAAATGAATTTGGTTTTCCCCTTATTCTCCACAGGCGGCTTAATTTCCCTAACGCTGAAGGGTCCCAGGAGTTTTGGTGGAAAATATGTTTCATAAACCGAAACGTTGGGCGATTATTGGATGATGATGATCTGATTTTCATGCATGCGAATCAAGTGCAGCATTTTTCGTGGTCCCTTGTTTTGTTTGGCTGTTGAGCCCGAGGATTACACTGAGATGCGGGGTGCGGGATTGAGATAGTCATGACCATTTATACGTAGATGTATGCCAATTGATAGCGGAGGTGAGGCATGGCGTGCTATCTATGGGTTTCTGTTCAATTTTCGATACTGCAGGCACAGAGCATGTTCTGTGAAGGTTCGGTTCCCGTGGGATTGGGTTGATTGGTAAGAAATAACTAACTCACGGGTTTGAAACCCGGTCTGTGGCTGAGGGGACGGCAAATGTGATGCACGCTCTTCGTTGGCCCGAAAAATAATAGGGAGAAAGAACGAGATTATTTATTTCAACTTACTTTGGTCGGAGTCCATGTTGACGTTTCAGCCATACGTGTGTATCCTGGGAAAGGGAGTGGCGGGCCGTTTTCTCTAAGCCACCCATGAGGACACAAAAGGGTCTCAGAAATAGCCGGGAAATGGACCGCAGGTTGTTGTCAAAGGGATCAAATGCTCAAAGACAAGCGGATTGTGGCTGATATACAGAGCGTTGCTTTGTCGGTTCTGATCTCGAACGAAACAGGACTTCGCTCCTAAACGGCGCTAAACCGCTTGTGGCCAGCCCAAACAGCTGCCATAAGCCTCATCCTGATCACTTCCTCTTCCACTCGATCAACCTTCTCATCCTCATCCTCATCCTCATCCTCAACTTCATCTCTTCTTCTTCCCTTCTTTCCCGGTCTCTGCCGTCTCTTCTTCACCCTCCTCTATGTCCCATCCCGCGTCTCTTCCGTCTACTTCGCATTTTCAAGTCTCCTTTTCTTTTCCATTCATTTTTGTCTCCCTGCCTTACTAATAAACTCCCCCCCTTTTAGCCCTTTTCTTTGACCTCTACCACCGCCCCCTGACTGGTGCTTTTGTTCGCTCACGTCTTCCACGCTTAGCTAACCTACCTGCTTTGCTTCCTCGAACAAACCTCACCAATTTGTGTCTAAGACCTTTGCCTCCTTAGAATTCCTCCACGTCCACTGTCTCGACGACATACTATTCTACCTTTACATACGCCTGGCTTCGGACATTTTCCACGGCGTCTTTTTCGATAGATTTTTAATAAACTGGATATGTTTCTGTGAAGAGACCTCAGTCATCTCTCCGTCTTACTCTGCTTCTATAACACCACGCGGCTCCAAATATAACTCACCTAAAACGGAGTCTGCCTAATTACGACCTTATTGCCCAGACCTCCGTTCGTACTTTGCCCCATCCGGCTTTGAAACTACAGTCGATATCGATTCGTGCGTTCCTTCGGCGTAATATCTTTGATTCAGCTTCCTCAATAACACCCTGCAAGGCTATCTATCCGTCCATTGCTGTGCGATCTGAGTTGCTCGCCACCGAGTGTTGGAAGTTTATAATCGAGATAATTACATTTTCTGCAATACCTGCGTAATAGACACCTGGATCGAAGGGTCCGTTTGAGAGATCTACAGGCCTAATATATTATTGCCTATGATTTTCCCAAGCTCCAAAGTTCCCGCAGTTCCTATTCGATCCGACGCTTGGTAGTCCTATCTTCTCCGAGAGAAGTTTGAGATTTTGAAAGTAACCTTCTACCCGGGCATAAGACAGCTTAATCTATAATGGCTCCTTCCTCCAGGCCCGATGGCCATCTCAACCTCAACTACCTTCCTGCTTCGCAACCAATGTCCGGCACCTCGACCGGAAGCTCGTCGCCGAATGAGCAGCCGGGATCAAATTCTATGAAATCCTCCTTTGGAAGTTCAAATGGGTTGAATAACGCTGGAGGACCTCTCGGAAATGCCAGGATCGGGGCTGGTTCCCCTTCTCATGACCTTGGCGCTCGTTTGTTCTCGAAGAGGTAAGGCTCTGTCTTCATTTTACGTTAGTGCTTACCATTGCTCTGGCTAACATGGTTCTACTATGTCACCGTCGTTTAATAATAGAGCTCGAGAGATTCAGGCTCAAGAAGGACTTGCTCCAAATATCTGGGGCCCTCCAACTAGCGGCAACTCGACGCCACTTCGAGAGAACATCCCGGAATCCCCAAGTCAAGATGAATTCCCTGACTTTGTTTCTGCGCCAGAAGGCAATCTTACCAGTCCTGCTCGAAGAACGAGAGCAGGAACAGTTCCTTCCCGTTTTTCTCCAGTTGGCACGTTAAATGGTGTTGGTGCCCAATCGTTTACGTCAAAAACATCGAGGCCCACACCGTCAACAAGCCCGTTCCGACCCCCTGCGGTGGCAGGCATCGACTCCTCTAGCAGACCTTCGGGTGCTGGGAGCGGAAACAATACAGCCTTACTTTCACGCCTTCGTGCCGGGTCCATGCCACAACGTACAAGTGTGCTTGGAGGTTCGAACCCTTTTGGCCCTTCTTTGTTTTCCACCAACTGGTCATCGGGGAGAGAGAGAGCAACTACTTTAACAAGTATCAGATCATCGGAGGGACCCACGTCACCGGCCCAGTCATCATTTTCAAGAGATGGTCTCGCGGACGCGGACGTTAAAACTTTAGACTACCTTGGTCTTGCTGAAACTCCACAGCAGGCCCGAGCACAACTTGTGCGCCCATCTGTCGACCAGCTCATGCAACAGCAACAGCAGCAGCAGCAACAGACATCCACTTTACCCCCGCTTCTTGCTGACCTGGTAATGATGAATAAAAATTCCAACCGCTTCCGCTCCTATTCTGTAAATGCGAAGGAGAAATATGCCGAAGATGACGAGGACCATTATGGGCTTCCGTATGCGGGTGTTCCGTCCGGGACATTAACACCTTCAGCTGCCGCAACTGCTGCCCAATTAGCCGCGACCCAGGCACAAATTCATCAACACAATTTGGCGGTCCAGGCATTTGCCAATCATGCATCTGCGAGTCGTCCACGTGCCCGCACTGCTGGAGTTTTGGATACTCCTGCTCAGCGCTCATCGATCCGCAACTATCTAGCCACTCCATCCAGACTTGATAATAGCCTTAGCATTGCAGACCTACGGATTTCGGAGACAGCAGAATATGACGATCTCCCAGAAGCAGTTCAGATGTTGCAGTTGGGTGGCATGCAAAGTTTACGACAAGGCCAGGAGATCTTGGATGAAACTAATCTAGATGGTCCTACTCGAGCATTGTGGATTGGCAGCATTCCCGTCTCAACAACGGTGACTTCCCTTGACGCTATTTTCAATGTGTATGGCAAAATCGAGTCGACCAGGGTTCTGACCCACAAGAACTGCGGATTCGTGAATTTTGAACGAGTAGAAAGTGCGATTCAAGCTAAGTCCCTTCTGAATGGCAAAGAAATATTCCCAGGTGCTGGACCAGTACGGATCGGCTATGCGAAAGTGCCGGGAACATCTGGTACCGGCACCCCTGGCCAAAACGGTGACCACCAATCGCCCACTCCTGACCCAACCTCCAGTGGCTTAGGTCGTGGTGGAAATAATCCGGATGTGCAAGATGGGACTTCAGGGACGGACACTGCAAATGGCCCTGGCCCTAATATACCGACTATTCCACAGTTGGCCGAATTGCAACCAGAAATGACACAGATCGTTGCCGAATTTGATGCATCGGAAGGAGAGTGTCAAAGCATTACAGAGAGCATTCAGCGAGCTGTGGCCTTTAAGTCATTTGTGGACGAAATTCCTCCAATTCCAGAACCAAGTCAAACTCGGGTCTATGATGCCCCTAGACTCCGGGATATTCGAAAGCGGATTGACAACGGCACGCTTGCAGTGAACGAAACCGAGGAGACAGCAAACGGGATGCTTCCTGAAATCGCGGAATTGTCATCCGATTATCTTGGCAACACGGTTGTCCAAAAGTTATTTGAATACTGCTCAGAGCCCACCAAAGAAAAAATGTTGGCTGAAATTGCTCCTCACCTTGCTGAGATTGGCGTACACAAGAATGGAACCTGGGCTGCACAGAAGATTATCGACGTTGCCAAGGACCCGAAGCAGAAACAGATGATTGTAGAGAGTCTTCGTCCGTACACTGTGCCACTATTCTTAGATCAGTATGGCAATTACGTGCTGCAATGCTGTTTGCGCTTTGGACCTCCATATACCGATTTTATCTTTGAATCTATGCTCAGTCGGATGTGGGAGATCGCCCAAGGCAGATTTGGTGCCCGCGCTATGAGGGCTTGCTTGGAGAGCCATCACGCCACCAAAGATCAACAGCGAATGCTAGCTGCGGCTATTGCTCTTCACAGCGTCCAGTTGGCGACCAATGCAAATGGTGCGCTATTGCTTACTTGGTTTCTTGATACATGCACGTTTCCATGTCGACGTACTGTTCTTGCCCCTCGCCTAGTTCCCCATCTTGTCCATCTCTGTACCCACAAGGTTGCCTATTTGACGGTACTCAAGGTGATCAACCAAAGGAACGAACCGGAAGCTCGCGAAACAGTTCTCAAAGCTCTGTTCTACAGTCCTGGAGATGAAACTTTGGAACAAATTCTCAGCGACCAGACTTCTGGTGCAACATTTATTTTTAAAGTTCTTACAACACCCTTCTTTGATGAGAGCATGCGCACTGAAGTTGTTCAGACTGTCGCCAAAGTACTAACAAAATTGAAAACAACACCAAGCCAAGGTTATAAACGACTAATGGACGAAGTTGGGCTGTCCTCCCGGGGTGGAGGAAGCTCTCGGGATAATCATCATTCTAGGGAGAACCAAAATGCCCATAATTCTAACAATGAAAAGAACCAACGCCGACCCTCATCATCTCGACAAGCAAATGCCAATAGTTATACTTCACAGTCACAACCAGAAAGACAATTCGGTGGACAGTTTGCCCCAGTCCTACAGCCCCAGTCCTTTGATTCTCCAACTGCCATGGCACGATCTATTTCGTCAGAGCAGAGCCTTCCTCCTTATGATGTTTACGGTATGACTGCAATGAATGGCGTCAATGGACTCATGAATTTGTCTTCGATGAGCAACAACCCCGGCTTTCCCCAGGAGCCTATCCTCCCGATAAACCAACTCCAATACCAGACATTCCTCGCCTCCCAAACACGTGGTATGTCCCCTGGTGGGTTTTATGCGCCGCAGATGGCAGGGGCGACTTTCAATGGCTTTCCATCAGCACCAACTGCTCTGGACAGCTTTCGGGCCTTGCAACCGCATTCATCACCTCTTTCCGGGCCTCCACCGCAAATAAGCTCAAGTCCAATGCTTCACCAACCCCCATTTGCACCTCCTCAGTTCACCGCGGCTGTGAATAATACTCATATGTATTCTTCCTACCCACAGCAGTCCTATCAATCTCATGCCATCCAGGTTCCACCACCTGGCGGACGCCGTGGACGTGTAAGTATTCATCTCGTTGCCCTTTGACCGAATGCACTCCATATTTTCCTTGTCCGTTTTGTTCCTATTTTCTCACCTAAACCTTGGATTAAGCTGACCTATATTTTTGTTTTGATAGAGATAATTAAAACAAAATTGTGCAAAAGGAGGAATCATATTGGGATTCTGTCGTCCAACTTCTGTTCCATTTTGTTTTCTAAACCATTTTTTTTCATCTGTAAATTTTTTTAGTGCAAGAGATCCCCCCTTTTCCTTTGACACATATGAGATGATTTGCAAAAGAGAAACCACATGCGAAATAGCTAGGAGTTCTCTCACCAACCCTTCCCCCCCCCCCCTTGCGCTGGATCGTTGAGGGGTTTAAGATGATCCGAGAAGTCTGGAGAGGTTAAACGGTTTTTTTTCAAGGGTTCTCTTACAGTTGCCACATGCGCACCCTCGTCCATCCAAAAAGATATTAGTGTACGGTGTTACTGTGACTCCATTCCCCTTTATTTTCATTTGAGAGCATTGTCTTCTATCTTTGTGTATTTATTTATTCATCATCATTGTTATTTCGCCTTTGTTTTCTAAATACGCCTTTCTTCTTGCTTTAACTCCAAGATCAAAACCACAAACAATCAAAGCCTTGGAGCAGTTTTCCTCTGAAGGTTATTTTTTTTTTATTTAAAAGATGTGACTCTCTCTTTTCTTTTACATTTCAATTTCATTATAAACACAAATTCAACTTTTATACTGTCTCTATTGTAGTTTAGTTTATTTCTCAATCTTTATATATCTACTATAGTTCAGAGAGAATCTGAGTTATTTAAACGTGTTTATTTGACAGTAGATTTGAATTAATATCAGAGATAGACTGCTCTAATTATATTGAGTCAATGAAATGTAATTCAAAAATTCCTTAAGTAGTGTAAGCTTCAGAGCTTCTACTACTTTTAGTATAAAAAAAATAACTAGTTAATCATAATCAATGTATCTCTTTCCATAAAAGAATTAATATCCTACCACTTCTCGCTGTATTTCTAGAGCCTCAATAAGACGGTTACACCTGGTGAAGTCGATTTCGAGAACAGCTGTACAAACACAAGCGTACACCTCGCCCTAGGGAATAAATAGGTCAGGGTAAATGAAATCCACCACCGCAACCAACTGTACTCCCAAGCTGCATCTTTCATACGGTTTTCAAGCTGTCGTAATATGTTATCACAGTAACTGTGTTGAGTCTTCCAAGCCAGAAATTTCCTTCGGCCTCCCCTAATTCGAGCCGGATGCCGACACAAGTAGCAACCTTCGCCATCACAGAGCTGCTCTGCTGCGGCAATGACAGCAAAATTTGACTTGGCCTCCCTCAATTTCATAGACTATAAGTCAAAAACTTCATCAAATGTTTGGTGTTCATCCAACCTCCTTTCCTCTTTCTGCTGCACTTTTGCCCGAACAAAATCCTCCATTTGGTCCCGTTCATCTTGGGTCAAAAGGGAAAGCCGGTCATCAAGAGAGCTCAAAGGCCCAAAGTATTGTTCATCAAGATATGCCCAATAGATCTCATCAAACATGAAGCTTTTTCTGGCTGCGAGACAAAACCAAAAGAGCCCATCTTCAATAGAGAGCGCCATCCTATCTGATAGACGCTGTGATTCCCTTAGACTGCCTTGGCGAATCTGCTCATCTTCATAAACACGGAGTACCTCAAGGAATAGTTTGAGGCGAGGGCGGTATCGGTCCATGAAGTTGTTCAAGTCCCAAGCCTCTGGGCTTTCGAATAGGAGCCACCATGGAGCACTGTATGTAAATTCAGCGGGGGCGACATATTTATACTCCCAGTCAATGACACCAGTGATCTTCAAGCTAGACCCCATTGCAAGGACATTTGATGGGCGCAAATCGTCGCAGTAGAGGTGGTATCGGCCATGTTGAACTGTGACCCGCTGTGCTATTTGCTTGAAAAGACAGCGAGCCACATATTTCTTCCGGCAGTCGTCCTCATTGGTGATGGCATCATTGCGTTGATATTTGAGGTGCAAAAACTGTTGCTCTGCCAGTTGCTGGAAGTATCCAGAGGCACTTGCAAAGATGTGATTACAATCAACAAATTTGTCGGGAGGGAAATTTCCCACGCGTACAAGCTCATTCATGTTGAGAGTTAGAGGCCGCTTTGAAACCCTCCACTTCCCAGAGTCCCATTTCAAGCCTCCAATATACTTAAATACCGGCTTGGAGAGCTCTAGCACAATTTGAGCCATCCCAGAGAAGGCGATCTCCAAGTCTGATTTAGAAACATCAGGATTCAGGCTTGGTGCTAACACAGAAGGATCTCGGAGGCATCTAGAAAGCAAAGTGCCCTCAATGACGGTTGTGACAATGTAAGGACCACAGCCCCATTTTCCAGTTCCAAGGACAGTCGGGATGGGGATAGATGTGTGCCGAGCAATAAAGGCCATCACCAAGAGCTCATCACTAGTTTTTTCACAGCGGAAGCGACTTCGGCCCAGAATAGGAAACCTAACAATAACATGGAAACCATCTTCAAAGGAGACAGTACAGCACATATTGAACGAGCCAGTTGTGAAATCTGAAACTCTAGTAGCTTGAAAACCAGGACGATGCTGAGTAGCAAGCTTGAGGGGCAAGGCTGGGGAGTTTTGCAAAAGAAGTTTTAACCAGCCGGCATACACCTTTTGCGACTTTTCCTCCGCCAACTGATCCCAATCCATCGTGAAGCAAGGATTCTGTCAGAGGAACCTCACAATGTGGTAGCTTCGGTATACCCGCGGGGAGTATTTGTCTTCCAGAGATTGGACTGAGTGAAATGGCGACCTACAAACGAGGTGAGCCTGAATACAGGAACCCAGATATAACTAGGTGGGGGAGAACTTACTCAATGTAATCGCTTCGCCCAGCCCCCGATATTGAATATTAAATGCGTGACAAACTTATCCTGAATCTATGAAAAGTCCTAGATTGAGCGCGGAATCCGTTTCGAAAAAGGGATAGGGATAGTTTGGCGCCAAGTACAGTACATAAGGAGGAGCAGGAGGAGGCCAATTTATTTGCCCATGTTTTATTCAATTCCTTCTTGCATACTCTCCCTCTGAGAGTGAGGATATTCTCCTCAAATTATTTGTGTTATCAATCAGTTGATCTTTTTCTTTTCGTGGCCGCTTAACATTTCTTCCCCCCGAGCATTTCATTCAACCTCTGCCTCTTCGTATCGAATTTCATATGGTATTTACTAGTGGTGTCATTTTGTGTGTTCAAACGTGTCCCAGCCCTTGTTTCTAGTTGTTATCTTTTTTCTATATTATATTTTGTTCTACACTTTTTATCTCTATTTCAAATGTTTGTTAGGTTACAGTAGGCTATGGGGGTCCAGTTTGGATAAACTTTCGTTTGCTCTATCAAAATATCCCTTTTTTCTTCTTGTTTTGTTTTGTTTTGAACTACGTAGGCACTCTTTCACCCAGCCGTGACAGCGGATCTCGATCGATGGTGGTAGAAATTACATACAATTCTTCCAATTAACAGTTATGGTTAATTACATCGTTCTAATAAAACAAGGGACAAAAAGGGTTTTTAAAGAGAGATATAAACTAACTTGTGGATCCAATGGAGGAACATGATCAACATTATATCTTGACCAACTATGCAACCGGCCAAGCAAAGAGGAGAAGAGCATCGCTTTGCCGGTCGATGAGAAGTGCAGTGTTACCGTGCGACACGTCTATATATATTTTTGGTGGAATCGATTAGCTTATTTCGTTCTGGTTTCGGCATAGACTGCAGATGATAAGGGATATCGTTTACTGATTAAATGAACAGAAGAACGAACAGGACAAAAACCAAAGAGAAGCGACGGATTAGAGAGTTGATGAATACAGAAGAAAAAAAATTCTTACATCTCTCACTTCCCAGACATCGACAATTCTTTCGAGGCCCGGGTCAATACACTGTCCCACCAGCGCATGAAGGGAACCCATATCAACATCCATGTCGACATCTCTCACGCGGAGGATTCCTGTACCATCTCCATCTCGAGTAGAAGCAGTAGTTGTAAAACTTGTAGACGCAGCTCCGTGAATTCCTCCCCCTGCCCCTATGTGGTCTCCACCATATCCATTCTCGTACTTGTACTGCTGCGGAGAAGAAAGCGTCTGCTGCTGATTATTTTGCGGGCCGATGTAGCTTACACATGAACTAGTCCCCAGTAACGCACCATTGCTGAATTGACTTTGTTGTTGTTGTTCTTGTGGTTGTGGTTGATTATTATGGTGTTGCACCGGGTTCGATCTATACCCGTAAGGCGACAGTGTTTCCCCATCTTTAACAGCCCATTTGCTCGTTTCCAAACCTCCAGCACCGGATGCTTTGCCGACTTTATCGAAGGTGTCGACTAATAGCTGGTTTAAAGTGATGTATTCGTCCTGCTCGCGGAGGGGTTGCCGGGAAGGGTCCATGGCGATAGCAGTTTCGTTTTATGTCCCTGTTTTGATTGGCTCGTGTGGGTATGCATTTGTCGGGGTTTTGGGGGGCCTTCACTGTGACATACTCTCCATGGGGTGAGTTGAGAAGCGTTGGGGGATGGGACGGCTGGTGGGGTGGATGATATGGAGAACTCGGTTGGAGGAGAGACGACAATGAAATATGGGAAAAATGGGCCTGGATTGTCTTTCACGCAAGGCATCACGTAGAGGAATGCTTGGTCCCGCAATCCCGAAACACAGCTGGGCAATCCATACCGCAGCGGAATAATCCAAGGCATTTAAGCAACAATCCTGATAATAAAAAAGAAATAGGATTGTAAAGAAGAGCGGTCAGAGCCTGCTTCACCTACCATCAACCCGAAAAAGGGTCTTGGTCATAGTATCAAGTTTCAGCGGCAAAAGAATCCGTTGTAAACAATTGCTCATTGAGCGGAAGTGTATCCTGAAAAAATCGAGCTATTCTATGCCTCAAAGAACGGAAAAGGGCCTGGTATCAAGATTGCAGAATTATCATAAACAGAAAAGAGGAAACGCCTCAAGATATATGCCATATTTCACATGTGAGATGCCAGTGGGGATGGCGTCTCTCTAACTCATTATCGTCATAACCCAGGAATGAAGAAGGTAACAATAACTGTTGAAACTTCAGTGATGATATAAAGTACAGGAATTTGGGAATGACAAGAAAATAGGAAGGGAAATGAAAACGTAATCGCTATAATTTAATAGCCCGCTGGAACAGGAAGAGATTCCCAGTTCTTTTGCCCCTTACTAGGGTTAGCCACCATTACCTGCAGCCCGCGACGACCACAGAAACCTCCAGTCCCAGCCTTGCGTTTAACCACTTCGTAAGAACCCCCCTTCTCGCCGTTGGGAACCCAGACTTTTTCCTCCACGTCTGCTCCCGCTACTTCGGTCCGGCGGGGGTTGGACCTAGGCATACCGGCAACAGCATTTACAATAGAATGGGCCAAGGAATAGAGCCTTTCAAATCTTCGAGTGACACCAAGCCATGCCAAAGTTTGTGTGTCGTATGCAACTCGAACGTAAGGATTCATGTATATGCCTGTATCGACGACTGGTTCGTTATTGGATTCATAAGGTGGTTTTTGGATATCTGCGTGGATCAGGCAGCATTCTGAAGCATCCCAGTAGAGGTCCGACTCTGCGCGGAACCTGGCTACCGAAGACGCGCGAGGCACTGGGTCATCATCCCTCCGTCCCTGCGCTTTACGTTGCCCGGGTTGTTCGGTTTTCCCCTGCTGGAAAAACCTTGCATCAAATGCGACCATTCCCCCCCAGCAACTCCTCACACGGACGGCGTCCTTTTGATCAAGCACATCGTGCCGGCTCTCAGCCTTCCCTGCATTAGAGAACCACGGGTAGAAAGGAACTCCCATCGAGAAACCCTCCAGGTCCCTCGTGGCAAAGGTATCATAAAATTTAAACGGGTTGATGAAATCAACAGCGCAGGCGGCACGGTACTGTGCGGTGCCGCTTTTGTCCATGTTTGTAGAGAAGAGGAGCTGGAGGGCGTCAATGGGATCGAAGACAACATCATTGAGGTATAGGAGTTTATCGAACCGATCGCTAGCCGGATCATCGAGGGGCCGGAGTGCTCGGTTTCGCGCCTCAGCTAGATAGGCTATCCGTTTTATGCGCTCCGAGCCGTCTGGTAATGTGATATGAGACACTGAATTTACATCCATGCGCTCCTCGTAGACGATTGACCGCTTGCATTTGATTTTGTCTTCAAACTCCCTGAGTGCGGTTTCGCCCTCCAATCCACTGTTGCTCTCATATATGCTTAAGAATACGTTATCATCCCCCAATAAGCTGATAAGTTCAAGAATATTTTCTCCCCATCTCCCCCGTGCAAGCGCGCCATCTCTATCGTATAAGCTGGCGGCAACGAACACCTTTTCGTTTCGCGGGTTCCCCCTGCCTGGGGACTGTGAATTCAATACGGTATGTCGGAGGGAATTGTAATGGACGGGAGGATGTGTATAGGAAGGGCGGATGATAAACGTGAGGAGCGCGAGGGCGGATATTATTCCGCAGGACGCGAAACAAATAAAACAGAGCCGGCGTAAGGTAAGACGACGGCGAAACGTAGAATGCTTGCTTTTCTTCCAGGAAGTTTGGCCTGGTCGGCGACCTCGAGGGGGATGCTGTTGTCCGGTGAAGAATGGGAGGAGAGAACGTAATCGGGATATCAGAGAAGCGGCTTGGAGTGGATAGCTGTGGCTGGATGTAGGATGAGGAGATTCGAAATCGGCAGCGTCCAGGTCAAAGCTATCTCGAGACTCGAGGGACGGACGGTTGAGGAGTTCATATTCATCTGGATGAAGCGGTCGTGAAGACATTGCTGTGTGTGTGGGACGGCATAGATGTCTAGACATCCAGCGTGTTGACGAAATATTTGCAGGCGTTAGTTCGCCCGGTCAGCAGGAATCATATGCGGAGACAATTTACTCTGCACTCCACAAGTTGTACGAAGAAACCATCGATCGTCCAAATTTTCTATGTTTTCTTTTTCGATGTAGCACTTATGAATTTCGTGGAAGTGGAGCCTTTGCGAATCACTTCGGACTTGGTCACACTTTCTCTGTCTCACATAGCTCAGCGTCGGGCCCCGATTTTCGCATTGTACTGTACCTCTATCCCAACTACTGAATAATGCTAAACAATCACAATAAGTTGAACTACCTTTCATACTGGATCAAAATTGCCCTTGACCTTACAGATGCATGGACTACATCAGCCTCCAACTGTGCCGTCCTTCGCCCAGTGTCTTAGGATATCTATTTGTATGTCATAGCATATATCATAGGATTTCCTGGTAGTTCGAGCAGTTTCCTGCCAAAGTCGTATAGCTACCCCACATGGAGGTCTATCCCAGCTATGCCCAGACATCCGACAAGGAGGGCATGAAGGGCACGAACACATTACGTGTGTAACGGGTTTGTGGGTCCTAGACAAATTCCTCGCAAACAATCTCCAAATGAACCTCTCGACAGGTTCATGAATAATTTGAATTGGCTATAATACTCCAGAGGGCCTGCATCCCGCCGAGCCGTGCCATCACCATTAATTAACCCCGCTCGATAAAACCCCAATACCATCCCAGGATAACCCCCAATCAAACCCAAGAAACCAAAGACAAACAACATGTCCGATCTCAAGTTCACAAACTCAACCCAACCGGTGCCCCCCGCCGCGAACCTGAAAACAGGATTCGTCATCGCCGCCAACCCCTCCACGGACGTCTGGGCAAAACCCCCTTCCACCCACCGCTTCAACGGGCCCATCCTCCACAAGACAGCTCCCCTCTCCAGCTTCCAGCGATCCAGCGTACACATCCATGGCGAGTGGACGACCCTCTACGACCAGGGCGGGCTGATTCTGGTCATGAACGGCGCCAACGGGACGCAGAAGTGGGTCAAGGCTGGCATCGAGTTTGTCGACGACAAGCCGTATGTTAGCGTCGTGGCGAAGGATCAGTGGGCGGATTGGAGTCTGTTTCCGCTGACGCCTGGGGAAGGGGCGGGCGCCAGTGCGCGGATTGAGATGGCTCGGGAGAAGGATACGTCATTGTGGATTTATTTGGTTGAGGGCGGGGAGAGAAGACGGATTCGTCAGATTACCTGGGCATTTGCGGACGAGGAGAGGGTTGCGGAGTGTTGGGCTGGGGTGTATGCGGCGAAGCCGGCGAAGGAAGGTGGTGAGCTTGTGGTTACTTTTAAGGAGTTGGACATTGAGCTATCGGCATGAGAGAGTCCGTAGGGGGCTAGATTTTGTTTTTGATGTGGATGGGCTGGTTCAGAGAAAATGGAGTTTTTGTTACATGCGTCTTGGTTGATATATTGGCGATAGCTAATCTTCACATGGCGAGGAGGAAGTTGTATGTTATGATAAGTTCATAACCCTCTACATACTGCTTTTGAGCTGCACGTTACATGGCAAACTATGGTCACGACAAACGGCAGATGCTCTGCTCTATTATTCAAAAGGCGGAAAATGATAGTAACTGGCAGAAGTAGCCAGGGGCACTCTGATCAGCCAGATACTAGTCATTGGCTTTGCGCTGTATGAATTGAATTCGTGCCTGGAAGTAGAGATACTCCTGGCAACAAATAATGTCGCCATTGCTATCGAGCTGATATGCCCCTGAAGCAAGCCGGTTGGCCATATCAATTGTCGCCTGGAGCGAGTGGATGGATATCTGACTTCTCGCAGGGGTACTAGTAGTCATAAGAAAGCCACTCCACAACATAACAGAAGCTCCACTTCATATCAGAGTACAAAAGCCTCGCAAAACGGGGGTTATTGTAGAAATCAGCGCACCATCTTTGGATAGATGTAAATGTGGCATGGGGGACGAGGACATGGCCCCTGCTGGGTTATCTGATCTTACTAGTTCAAAAGAAGCTAGCTCTGAATTACTTGATGGGCAGGCCCCGATCGGCCCGATCTGAAGAGAGAAGGTTGATTCTCTTATCCCAAAGGCAGAGCTTTAGATGCTCGGCTGCCGTTAGCCATTACTACATCCTGCCCAGGCTTCTTTTTATGAAATGAAAAATCAATATCATAAATAGTCATCATAAGTAATGCATCATTCTTTTTGAAGAATATTCTAAATGATTTTCATGAAAAGTCATCATCTATTCATCTTTCAACACACTTTTGAATTTCTCATTCTCTCAGCTTAATAATAGTAATGAGACTCTTTCTCATATTTCTTCAATAGTAGGCTCATAATCGGTAACTTCCGCACTGCCAAAAGCTTGGTGCCTTGAGTCCTCCACTTTCTTAGAGCTCAACAAGTTTTGTGATGTTTGCTTGCTGTTTTGCCACCCATCCTTTGAGCAGCTCCTTCAGATGATTGATCCGATCTTGTGTAGGGTAATTTGAATGCTGGCATGTACAACGATGGCAAGGCGGGTAGAAAAGGTGAAAGAATGAGAGAGAGGAGGAAGAGCTTTGAAAGGAGGGGGAAGGTTTGATGCAGGGAAGCAGAAAGCCGACCCCGCGAAAAACGCCACCCGACCTTTTTAGCAGCTCGGATTAGTAATGCCCCTCATCTTCGTTAGTTAGCTTGCTGCAATATCAAATAATGCATCTGCCAAACATTTGGAGAGGACACAAATTATAATCCAGTTGTTGTTGAGTTCCGATCATTCATATGTCCTCCTTATATAACATTAACACACACAGAAATATCTTGCCTAACTCAAGCACAGTAACCATGGCTCCATGGTTGGAGGATACAGACCCGGCGCTCAACGCATTATCAAAAACAGCTCCCAAGCTCATCGCCGCAGAGCCTGGTACGTTGGTAAAATTGACTCTCGCATTTTCTATTCGACCGCATAAATGATTTGCATGCCCTCCTATTTTAACGCTAATGCTTGTCACACAGAACACTGCCCTGGCCCCGAGTCCGACCAAGCAGGCAAAAGCGATGCATGCAACGGTTGTCCCAACCAAGCCATCTGCGCCGCCGCTCCTAAGGGGCCCGACCCCGACATCCCAGTAATAACCGCCCGCCTTTCCTCAATCCGACATAAAATCCTCGTCCTGTCAGGAAAAGGCGGGGTGGGGAAGTCGACATTCTCCTCACTGCTCGCGCAGGCGTTCGCGTCCAACCCGGCCTCGACCGTCGGCATCATGGACACGGATATCTGCGGGCCGTCGATCCCAAAAATGATGGGGGTTGAGGCGGAGACAATCCACATCACCAACGCGGGCTGGAATCCCGTGTGGGTGTCAGACAACCTCTGCGTGATGAGCGTGCAGTTCATGCTACCAAACCGGGACGATGCGGTGATATGGCGCGGCCCGAAGAAGAATGGGCTGATCAAGCAGTTTCTGAAGGATGTTGAGTGGGGGGAGCTGGATTACCTGATCGTCGATACCCCGCCGGGCACGTCGGACGAGCATCTTTCGGTGAACTCGTTCTTGAAGGAATCGGGGGTCGACGGGGCGGTGGTGGTGACTACACCGCAGGAGATGTCGTTGTTGGATGTGAGGAAGGAAATTGACTTTTGCCGCAAGGCCGGGATTCGCATCCTGGGGCTCGTGGAGAATATGTCCGGTTTTGTCTGCCCGAAGTGTACGCATGAGTCTCAGATCTTCCGAGCTACGACCGGTGGCGGTGCAAGGCTGGCGAAGGAAATGAGTATCCCGTTCTTGGGCGCTGTGCCGCTGGACCCGAGGGTGGGGATGGCCTGCGATTTTGGGGAGAGCTTCATGGACAATTTCCCTGATAGCCCTGCGTCTGCTGCATTGAAAGAGGTGGTGAGAAGCATTGGGAAATTTGTCGGGGAAGATCCTGATGAAATTCTTCCTAATGCTGGAAGAACTTAGAACGATGATTTCACATCGTTCTAAGTATGATTTTTTTGCTTTCTCAGAATAAAGCTTAATGAATTGCTATTCAAGGGCGTTAATATGGGCATATGAGGGAGGAATCGACATATCGATCTTAGGTGCATTTACAACAGGAGCATGGCGTTGGGAATATTTTCATAGACAGTTTTGCGCATTCACTTGGAGGATGGTATTACTTTTCTCCCCTCACTTTTCCCTGTATATTAAGGAATGATGATGACATTGGATCACCGTTAAAACAGGAATAAATGCCAGTTATACGATGCTCTTCTGGTAGAGATATTATACACCCATGCTTCGTTCAATATTCGTTCAATATCAACCCCGTCCGCCAGGCTATCTGGTCGACTATATCACCCTGTATACTTCCATTTCTTTACATGCAACGTGCAACGTACAACTTGTATGCACAATGTACCATTTTAGCGGAAAGGCATACATCATCCACCTCATTAGTAACTTGTTTCGGATCATTCCAAAAACGGCCAAAATGCCTGCAAAATCCGCTTCACCAGGCATGTCCAGAACTCGTCTGAAATTGCCGCTTGTGGGGCGTATGAACTCTCTTACGGGTATGTAACTCGTTCTGTACCATGATTCTGAGATTGAGAGGATATGACGAGGGCGACAGGGAAAATATGCGGGAATATTCATGTCAACGGGCTTCAAGAATCGTTTTATATTGAAAAGAGAAGATGTTCTAGATGTGCTGAATAAGAGAACAGACGCAACTTTAACAGGATTTTGGGAATCAGTGTTAGGATTGTCACATGTAAAGCATTTGAAGGCGGGCAGGGCGCTTCAAGGTCTGTGGCAAGCAGATGTGGCTTGTGTTGCATGAAGCGGGCCCGTAGATGTCTAAACTTGGAGCCAGTGAATGCTGGAAAAGGGATTCCTTGTTGGCGATTCAACTGCTGCAAAAGATGGACCACAGAATCCAAAGGACGACGGATGGATGCGAGTGCTTTGAAAGAAGGTTAGCAATGACATTGTTTGAAAGCAGAACGATGAAACACCGGAGTGGGTAGGGCGTCTCAGCAGGGATGCGTTTCTTTGACTTGACGTTTGCTGATTTGCCCGCACGGTGATTGCAGTTCCATCCATGGGGAATGTTTCAATCACCAGCGGTTTCGAGCCGGTTGCACCCAACCGGTGTGCTTGGAGTCTTGCGATGCTTATTGGCAGCGACTCCCCGGCCGCTAATCAAGTTGCTCGGCGTTGGTCAGCCACGATCAACACTCTTGATAAGTGCTAGTACAAGTACTATCTGATTCTTGCCCCTCTCTCCATTCAACAACGCAAACTTTTCATTGACCCTCGAGTGTTAGGCAAGCATGTGCCTGACCATGCCTGACCGAGCCTGGCCCCGTTTGTTGTGGCCCGCCTGAAATCTCAACTCTCTGAACGCGGAGCTTCCTTCACAGCTGAATGGCTGGAGTATCACATAAACTGGCTCCTGGTGGGATTTCAGCGCGGCATGATGATGCGCAAGCGACAGGGACCTGGCCAATGGAGCGCGGCGTCAACATTCTTCAAACCAAACATCCCCCTGAGGCCCTGATTGCATGAGCATCGTGTCAGACCAGTGTGGCACCGACAACTTGGCAAGGCCATTTTGCCTGTTAGATATGGGATGAGAAGTCCTTGATGGCGCGGAGCTGGGATCTTTTTGTTACTGTGAATCGTAATGCCGGCGCCCAGGGTGTGGCGGCTCGGGAAGATCCCTATAGATATGATATGGATATGGGGTTAATCTCCGTCCCATTCCTGTTGATGTGATTATATAGCCTTTGCGTATTAACCCTTTGGGAGAGGCTTGGAGGTTATTTCAGGACCATTATTTTCTTTCTTTAGCCTTTTGGGCCAAGCGCCCTTGTCCTATATTGCTTTCTCTCTGTGACTTCATCTTTCTTACTCTCTTTCTCATTGTACGCAGTTTCTTCTTTTCTGGCGCATTCCGCTCTCGATCCCTCGCGCTATATGCTTTCACACCTCCAACGCCTCAAATCTCCCGCTCTCTCATTATTTTCTGATTAACACGGTCTCTCTGTATGACTCTTATGGGGTCATAGTTTTCACATTCTTTACTGCTACTGTTTGCCCTTCTTTTTGTGCTGAGTGCGTTATACACAACCGTTCTTAAGAACGGTTTGTGTTTTTTCTACATCCCGCTGAAGCGTGTGTTTGCGTGTGGGTGCGCATCTATCTATCTATCTTTCTCTTGCGTCTGGACGCGACTTACATTCTTTCATTTCTCATTGGGCTGGGCCATTCTTCTTCATCTATCTTCCGTGTCTATATCTTATTTTACATAAACAGCGGACAAGATGCAGTGGATACAGGCACTGCTGTACCTATATCTCCTCTCCTCCCCGGCCGTGCTAGGGGCTCCCACGCAACAATCACAACTGAAGAAACGAACATTCAAAGTCCATCGGATACGTCAGGTAGATTATGTGCCTAACGGTCTAGCAGCGGTCAGAAAGGCATACGCCAAGTTTGGTATCATTGCTACAGATATCAACTTCGGGTCTTTAGATCTCAACATTTACCCAACTTCAGAAGATCGCCAGGCTGTAAACAAGGCAGACGAACCAGATGAAAATGGCGCTGTCACCAATGTCCCGGCGAGAAATGACGTTTTGTATCTGGCCCCCGTAACAATTGGTGGCCAAGAGTTTGTGATGAACTTTGATACCGGTTCGTCAGACACGTACGTTCATACCATGATCCCCAGAGCATGGAACTGTGATGCTATACGCAGGCTAGGGAGTTGCATTTATACATGGCCATGAACTAACAAATATACATACTCCTCCTTCTATCTCTTTACAGATGGGTATTCAATACTAAACTTGACCCACGCGTATCTGCTGGCCACTCAGTTTTCGATCCGGCAAAATCCAGGACATTCCAGCTACTCGAAGGCTCTACCTTCAACGTCACGTATGGAGACTCCTCCTTCGCACGGGGTGGAGTTGGAAAAGACACAATCGACATCGGTGGTGCAACAGTTCGAAATCAAGCCTTCGGCCTTCCAAACCAGATCTCAGAGTCATTTCTCACCGACGAAGCCTCCGACGGCCTCGTTGGCCTCGGGTTTACAAAGATTAATACAATGAAACCGGAAAAACAAACCACATTCCTCGAAAATATCGCGCCTGATCTTCAAGAACCCGTCTTCACTGCCCAACTTAAAGCGCAGGCTCCTGGTACCTATGAATTTGGCACGGTTGACAAAAGAAAGTTCACTGGTGACATCGTTGATGTCCCTGTAGACAACTCCCGGGGTTTTTGGGAAATCAAATCGAGTTTGTTTAGGGTTGGCGATGATGGCAACATCCTCACCGTCGAAAATGGCGTGACCACCGCGATCGCCGATACGGGCACGACGCTGATGCTAGTGAATAAGGAGATCGTGGACGCGTATTACGCGAAGGTTGAAGGGGCGGAGTTGTCCCCGAATGCCGGTGGCTTTATATTCCCCTGCAGCTCGACACTGCCGGACTTGTGGGTGTCTCTAGGTGATACACATCTGGCAAGGGTATCAGGTAGTTTATTGAATTTCGCTGTAGTGGGGACTGACACAGCCACCAACACGAATCGTAAGTGTTTGCACCATTATCCTTATCATATATTTTGATTTTAGCTTTTGGTTTTGCCCCAGGACTTCATACTCGCGGCTAAACCCCCTTTTTCCACACCCAATCCATGCTAACGGCTATCTCTTTTGTTGTTATAACCAGTCTGCTTCGGTGGTGTCCAATCCAACCAAGGCTCTAAACTTCAAATCTGGGGGGATATATTCTTCAAAGCACTCTTCGTTGTATTCGATCTGCGAGGCCCGAAACTCCGAATAGCAGCGCACGCTTAAGAAGGAACCGAAAAAACGATGGGGCCAAGAAGAAGACTGAATAATGAAATCGAACCATTTATTATCTCTTATCGAGAGATTTCTAGAAGACGTGATCACATACATATGACAAACGTGCATTCCATGTCTTACCTTTCATAATCTCCCTCAACCCCCCATCTTCTTCGTTCCGACAAATGAACTAAGACAATCGGCGAAACGCCCTGCATGCCAGTTCCGTGAATGATATCGCTTGGTCTTCTCCGTTTCCCGCGATTCCACCATATTAACGAGGGACGGGGGAAGTAGACGAAGAGGGAAACAAGGAAGCAAGAAACCAGAACTGCGTCATCAACATGGTCGATCACCCAAGAAAGACTTTTTCAGCTTTATCGCCCTTCAAGACCTACTTGGTTCCATTCACACGTATTTCCTGCGACGCAACTTTTTTTTCCCTTTTCCCCTGTTTTTATATGTATCTGTATTTAAAGCATAGATATATTCTTGCTGGGAGTGTCTGCTCCTTTTTTTCCCTGTACATACGATTGCTACACCGATATCTGTTCTCTTGGTGCGGATTTCTTCGTGTAACCCTACTATGATAAAGGAGAGCTGGCGAGTTCTTTTGTTGTAAATAAATATGTTTTGTCGGAACTAATAAAGTCCGAATATTGCCCCAAATACTGAATATCGATAGAACAATTGAATTGCTTATTATAACTCCACTAATTACATGAAAAATAGGCAGTATTTATAAGGAAGGTCATGCTTAGATATATGCAAGAGATAGCACTGAGACCTGGGTGAGCATTGCCAAGTTTTATATAGTTGGACATTCCACATTGCTGCTCAAATCTTCTCGAATCTTTGATAGTAGAACTTACCAAGTTCTTGACATGTTTCGAGTATGGAAGAACCTGTTTTGATTTTATTATCTACCCATGGCAGCTCTCTGGGCCCTTGGACAACCTGAGACAGCATAACCATTTCAACATTTCGACTTCTTACTTTGATTTCCATCCAACCCAACATATCAACAACAGAGCTATAGAGAGTAGAATTTCATATACTATAGACGGTAATAGTCTTTTCATTCTCGAAGCAGTATATCTCAACAGTGTACATCCCCGATGAAGGCTTGGAAAACGCTATATACTAGAGAGATAAGGAAGAATAGGTAATTCTGATAGATATTGTCTTAGTTATTTAAAATCAATATATCATTTCACACTTCAGTGTAAAAAGTGATATAAATTAGTATCGGAATATATATATTGAGGCTCTTTAACGATGTGACGGTAAGCCAGGGGCAGAAATGGTGGCCTTTACCACTTGCTTTTTGGCCTCCTAGCTAACTGTCCAACCCTGTAGCCCTAGGTTTGATGAGGGTAATGCTTAATTAAGGGTCAAAAGTACCGGAGGATCAGTGGGCCGTGAGATTGCTCACCTTGTTCTTGAGGTGGTGCTTATCAGGGTCCGCGGAGCAAGGGAGCTGAAACCATTAGCTAGTGAAAACAAACATGGTGATGCTGGTTCACCCAGATCCCTAATGATAGAACTTGACAGAGCTGGGCAGAGGGATCCATTTGCCGATGGTACAATACAATCATGTTCAGGAAGCTCATAATAGCGTTAAGATGCTATGCTTTGACTACATGATGGTAAATAAAACGAAGTAAAGCCAATAGTGATAGCATGTTTCATCATCCACGGGATCAAAACACATTGGCATAAATTTCGTACGCCATTCTTCGAAAAAAAAAAAAAAATCATCAGCCGGTCTGTTCCCAGCAGTCAATAACTGCCATTACTTTGGGCTTCGGGTCTCACGATAACAGGATATTTGGCGGGGAAAAAATTCATCATGCGCGAATGCAATGGGGTGTTTCAATGTTGATATCCATTTGGCAGATGTCTTGAAATTCCTTGACCAGATCTGGACCTTGGAATGGCCCTGAGAGTTTGGGGTAGGTTTGAGAAGGTAATCTGTCAACGGCTTCCTGCCGTGGCTACCTATGTGTTGCGAGAACCCGGGTTAGGAATTGCTTGCCCGTTGCGCTCGAGGAGGGTTGCCTGCAAGTTCAGAGTAAACAGCTTGTTTCTCATCTTCGTTCATATCACCTCATCTCAACCGCAACCCCAAACCCTCAACCAAGGACGTGTAAATAACGTATCACCTCCATCCTTCACCCAACCAAGAACTCCGGGGACTGGCACCTGGCTGCGGAGAGCGTTGCGCACCATTATTTGAGTCTGAGCTTCAATAGTTGTAACATGGTTCCCATACATGACGAATAGTCCAAGGGACGGGGTTTTTACCTCCAGGGTTTTGCGTTGATGGCTCTAATCTCAGCCGGTGTAGGAAGAGACAAAGCTCGTCTCTCTTTAGAAAAGCTAGATTCCGGAAATATATATTTGATCTTCTCGAAACTGGTTTCGGCATCACTGGAGCTGGGCCTCAGTGCTGAATTCTCCAAAAGGCGGCATTGGGCTCCGATGCCGCGTAGCTTGCGATGTCAGTATGCGGTGGCTTGTTAGAACTTAACCACTGGGCTCAAGGGAGAAATTCCCCGATGAGCCGGGTTTTAACTTCACTATTTTCATGGCTTGAAATCGAGCAGGGAACTACCCTACGGAGCACTGTGTCTCACGCATTGTCGCCCAGTTAGAAGCCCTTATGACAGTAGTGCTTATCAGGCTTGTGAAGGAGCTAAAATATCTTACTGCCAGAGCATCTTCATACAGCCATCGAACCCATCTGCTTTGAAATAGGCTTTAGGATGCGAGATCTTGGTCCTTGTGGTTTCTAACCCTGGACGCCCCCCAATTCTAAAGACCCTGATTACACATACCTGACGTAGATAGCTAACCAAGGACGACGAAATAGCTGACTATCGGGCTTTATCATATCATCAGTCCCTGTAGAAACTAGTATCATCCCATGTAGCCCTCAGCAATCAACTTTCCAAACGGATTTTTAGCTATCAAGAGAATCGTAGTATTATTGAACGAGTAAGAGGTAGATCCTTTAATGATGAGTATTGAGCTGATCTGAAATTGACTCAGCATTCAGAATAGTTATCTGTGATGATAACACGCGTCCTAATCTCTCGTCCCGGAGATCCTGCCACCGCGCCAATTTGCCGTCGCTGCGATTGGTATGGCATTCTTAGAGCTACACCAGCATAGGTGAAGTGGCATCGCGAGGAGCGATGTGCGACGGCTCAGGCATCAAGGATGTGATATTAGATAGCCGTTCGGTGACTTCTGCCGGCGTAGGATCGATTACACAGGCGAGGGCGGGATAAGACAGCACCATCCCTGGAAGGGGGGAGGAGGAGGTGGTGCATCCGGGAGACAGAGGAAAAGAAAGCGAAAGTGCGTGTTCGTTGCGAGGGTGCGAGACTGGGATTAAGAGATCTGCGCGGATCGGCGTCAGCTGGATTGCTTCGAACTACAACACTACCCTGTAAGTTCCCAACATCATGCCTTTGGATTCCACACACAAATATAAATGCAAGAAATCAAATATTATATACTCAGAGATTTCTTCACCACTAAACTTCAATGCTCATTAACAGGATTGTTTTTTTAGAGTAGATGTGGTTGACTACGAGCTAACTACTTAATAGCATATGCAACATGATTGAATAATGGATGCAGTGATATTATGATATCAATGAGTCAATGATAAACTTAACTACTTAATACCTCTACTATGATCAACTAATGAAAACAAGCTTTATGCTATCGGAACTTCATTTCATATGAGTTGGCTACTAATACGGAGCAGGCAGGGATCTTGATATCAATAACATCAAACTTCATGCAGGCCATGGAGCGGCGATTCAGCCCTGGACAGGCAGGGAGACAGGGAGTGTTCAAGATTGATGACCACCCAGCGCATTTTCAGCTCCCAGCTGGGACCAGGTCGAACAGCGAACGATTGGGGCCTGGCATGCTACTTGACCTGCTCTGAGTCTCCATAACAGAACATTGACGAGAAGACTCAACTCTTCCTCGAATGCATTCCATATATCCCCATTAGCCTCCACGATGACTTTCAACGCTCTTTTTACAACAGTGACCACGGCCCTACTGGTTAGAAACATTTCCATGTTATTGCCCAGGTGTATTGTCGCTAATCACCCCTTCAGCTGCCTATCCTCATCGCTATCAAAACTCTCTACTTCCACCCACTCTCTCGCTACAATGGACCAACACTGTGGGCCATCACCCGTCTCCCGTACATGCTTGCCTTTCGATCCGGAAAGCTAGCTCACAAGGTCAAACACTTCCATGAAGTATACGGTGATACTGTCCGCGTGGCCCCCAATGAGGTATCCTTCATCAACCCCAGCTGCGTCAAAGATATCTACAACCGTCGCCCGAGTTCCGAATTTAAATCGCTTCCTAAGGACCCCATCCGTCAACCTCCACCGCAGCCGGGCCAACCGATTTCTATACTCGAAGCCGGAGACGAGGATCATGCACGAATACGGAAATCGTATGCATCTCTGTTCAGTAGCAAAGCCTTGGCCGCTCAGGAGCCCTTGGTATCGTCGTACGTCCACAAGATGATATCGCAGCTAAAACTTCAAACGGGTGAATCCAATACTACAGTGGTTGACCTCCAAACTTGGGTAAGCTATTGTACGTTCGACATCATCTGTTCACTGAGTTTCGGGGAAGACTTTGGCTGCCTTGAAAACAACAGATACCACGAATGGGTCGGAATGCTCGTCCACTCTTTAAAAGGAAGAGTGCAACTTGCGGCGTGCCGCTTCTACCCGTGGCTCTTCAGGCTTCTGCTCAAGAGGATCCCTAAGTCAGCGATGTCCCTGATGGCGAAACATCAAGCAACAACGCGTGAAAAGGTGGATAGGCGGCTAAGCTCAACTGTCGACCGGCCGGACTTTCTCTCCCATCTCCAGAACTCGAAACACCAGCTCTCGCATGCTGAAATCGTGACAAACTCAACTACGTTTGTTTTTGCGGGAAGCCATACCCTACAAACTGCTATCACCGGGATTCTCTTTCATTTGCTTCACAACCCTGAGAGTTTGGCAAAGGTAACAGAGGAAGTGCGTACCAGCTTTGCCACGACAGAGGATATTGGATTTAGAAACCTGTCGAAGCTGCCTCTTCTAGATGCTGCAATCACGGAGGGCATACGCCTTTCCTCACCAGTGCCATTAGGATTAACAAGACTCGTCCCGGAAGGAGGACACACCATCAACGGCGAATTCTTTCCTGCAGGGGTGCGTCATAAGCCCTCCACCCCCACCCCCACTGGAAACAAAAGCTGACTACAACAACGCAACAGACCATAGTCTCATACATGCAGTGGGCTGCCAATCTCTCCGCTTCCAACTTTGCAGATCCCACATCCTTCCATCTAGACCGCTGGCTTCACACTGATCGCGGCCTCTTCGCGAACGACCGACGGGACGCGGTGCAGCCATTTCTCCAGGGTCCGCGCGACTGCATCGGGCAGAACCTCGCGAGGATGGAGATTTCCTTGATCTTAGGCCACCTTCTTTACCAGTTTAATCTCAGCCCCCCAACGGGAGAAGGACATGCCGGGGTGCAAAGGTGGGAGGATCAAGAGACGTACGCGGTTTGGGTGAAATCACCGTTGCTGGTGAGACTGAGTGTGCGATAATTTACTGCACTCTCATCCTTGTCTTCACTTTTCAGCTCAACGCAGCCATCAGGCGAGTTGGATGCAGCACATACTGTCCACTCAATACAAATGCGCATATGTTTCAAGATCAGGCTGGCAAAAGTTGGACCGTCCGTAGATTCTTTAGACGGAAGCTGGCTTTGAGAATATTCAGAGAATGTGCTCATCTGGGTCCCGCTCCCAGTCTTAATTCGATTGTTCAGTCTACTAGCCTTCATATCTAACTTCGTTCAGTACTAAACCATATCAATTACAATCAGAATAGCTCTTTAAGTGAGTTTATTCAATACGGAACCATTCATCCTCTAGCAGTGTTCCAGCTGAAGGCCGATCCCTTGGATCTAGTTTCATGATCTTGAGGATAAAATTCTTGTCCTCTTTCGACACCTCTCTCTCCGAGATTAGCGCGAAAGGTTTCTGCATTCCCGGAGCCAGGGATTGGTGAATGTATGACAAGATATTCAAGGTCTCTGCGCCTGCAATTTCTTGGTAGGAAAGGGGAAACGGGCCGAAGAATTGACACTGACGCATAAGAATCTTGAGTTCATAGTCCTCATGGCCAAAAAGAACGTCCGGTTTGAAGATGAAAAAGTTATCGCCATACATCAAAGCCAAGAGTTACATAAGCGAATGCGACGCATTAGTCCGATCCCCATTGCACACAAGGAGTCCAATATTATGACACTTACCAAAGCACCAAAGGACCATATATCGGTCGGTGTGTCCCATCCTATTTGCAGATGGGCTTCAGGGCTTCTCCATATAGGCGCCCCGATCATATCACCGTCTTTCGCGTATGCCGAATTAGCCGGCACAGTGCTTCCCATATCCGCCAGCTGAACATCGGTGAAACGAATGTCTCCCACCCCATAGTTAACGAGCACATTGTCGGGCTTAACATCTAGCAGCATAGAAAATTAGCTACTGTGAACTTCGCATGTGAAAAGAAGTAAGGATTGGTGACGGAAATACCGGTGTGTACGAAACCATCGGCATGCAGTAACTTTAGTGCCTCGAGGATCCTTTTGGCAATGTATTTGACTTCAGGCGTAGTCAGTTTCTGCGCGGAGGAGGCATTTAAGAGGTGATCATCTAAGTGCCGTAGGACAATTGCTGGAGGATCTGATGGGTCGATAATCTCATCAAGCAGCGGTCGGATAAACGGGGTTCGGTTTTGGAAGCGATATAGGACATCGCTTTCGTTTGTCAGCCGGAAGTGTCGCACGCCTTTGATGATTACGTGCTGTTTGTTTTGGCTCCTGTCTCGTTCAGAAACTTCGCCATTTAGAATCGGAGAGGAACACATTACTTTGCAAGCCACACGCTCTCTTGGAGCTCCTTGGTTATGATGTAGCGGTCTCTTTTCCCTTTAAGCAGTTGCCCAAGGTGGAACAGCCCAGTCATGTTGCCTCTAGGGAGAGTTTAGCAGCATCATGATAAAGCAGATATCCGCTTATAATGAATTTCAAGAAGTATGAACTGCTATCTTCGTGAGCGGGAGTGGTGCTCGAATCTGTTGTCCCCTCTGCTACCACCATGACGCTGGTGCTGATCGAGCTCTTTGCCCCAGCGGCCAAACAGAATCTTGGTTTCCTCAAATAGAGATAAGCGCTGCGGCTGAGGGCGGCTACCAATCGAGCCAACCAATTGTCGTATCTAACGGTGCCATTACCGCGGCTCCGCCCTCTACGCCAGCACCCATGGATCCTCGTTTCAACGTCATGATAACGGTGGATACTAGTACTGCGTGCTGCAAGGAAAGGAGGACTTGCTGATGCTGATTGGAATCAAGATCGCCCCACCCACTGCTAAATAAGGAAATTAGTTTCCTTCAATAGGTGTGGCAAGGCGAACCCACACTATCCGCATTCGCATCCCCGAGGCAGCTAAGATACGATTTTGACCATTTCATCGTCATCACGAAGACGTCAAATGGTTGCTCTGCCACCCCACGCCACTCTAACCTTGACGGCCCGTTGGCTACTAGGTTGTCATTTTCCTTATACAGGTGCTGTCCCTGGGAGCACTAAAAAATGATCTATCCGAATCGACGAGGTGCCGGTGCCGCAAGCTGAGCATTGCGGTCAGAAGGTTTTTCTGTTAGATGGCTCAATTCTGGTGAAAGTCACAGATGAATGGCAACCATTGTAAGGCATTTACATGGTAGACCTCGGTGGAATGACCCCCAAAGGTCATAAACCAGATAAGAGCCAAACCTGCTAGAACTCAACGGTATTGCACGTCTGAGAGTCAAAAACGTCGAGGTGGCCAGGTCCGGCACAAACGCCTCATTGGCTACGAGGTGATAAATAGGGTCCGATGGTTCGACACTAGACCCTTTCTGAGGGGTCACATATTGTCCGTACATGGTTATTAGACCTCCGATACCACAGAAAATACATCTCGCACCAGGCATTGGTTCAATGTGATTGAAATTCAAATGATCTAGATAAAAAGTTCTAATCGAGCGCTTGGGATATTGCCCCACAGACCTGATCCATAGTCTGAAACCCATCCTTGAGCCAACACCGAAGAATGATATCACCCAATAAGATACCTGTTGTGTCTGCTAATTCTTCCTTGGGCGGCCAATAGGGAAACCACATATCGACACCATTACCATTACCTCTTGGGGTCCTCTCGGCAATGTCAAAGGGCGCTTTCAAGTTCACAAATACCATGTAACCTTTCCCAGTCATAATCTCATAAATCAGGGACCCAACAGCAGCGATATCAGATTTCTCTGAAGAGGCGTAATGCACATACTCTCCAAACTTCACATCGTCAGGAACTATAGTCGAATTCCCAAAATCAACCATCATCAATGAAAGGTCATCATCGAGGAGAAAATTGCCAAGATGGAAGTCGTTGATAAGAACATGTTTCTCATGTACCCGGCGAACTACATCAGTGACCATCTTAATCCATCGAAGGCGTGTGTCGAGATCAATCTCGTGTGTGTTGAAGTAGTCCTGAGCAGTACCGCCTGACATGTATGGCATCTCGATACCAGCATCCGTCGGCCAAGCAGGTAGTATGCCTTCGACTCGTCCCAGATGTTCGTAGACCTGTTTTTCTCTTCTCAGAGACTCAAGAACCGCCTTGTTGGTATTTTCGCATGGGACTTGTGTTTCTAGGTTCTTGTCCACGAGGTGGGTGCGTAAACGAGGGACTTTCAAAACCGTGTCATTTGAAATCTTAAATACCGAACCAGTAATCCCGCCTCCAATAAACTCCCCAAAGATAGGTGATCCATCGGCACCAAAGATATCTTCATGTGCTGAGCGCGTCGAGGTGTCAAAAGTTGAACGTTGTTGTTGGTTCGAGGTGTCAGTTTCGGCTTTCGGCTGAGAAATAAATGTGGACAGAGCTATTTGAAGCCTCCTGAATAGAGAGATTAAGAAATGCATCACAGCAGAGACAGTGAAAAGAAGTGTGGCTTGACACTGCTGTCAAACAGCGTCAACATCAGAAAGACAGAATAATGAGGTCAAAATCAAGACTATAATTGTCGGGCAGAACCGCCAGCCTCCACGTGACCTCACAAATGGGTGCAATTTGCTTGAATCGGGGTTCAGATTTTGACAAGAACTTTTCAAATCTGGAGTCTCCATCAAGTCAACTTCATCCACTCTCAATGTTATTAATACATTTGTATCATATCCTCAAGAAGTAACTATGACAAGAGGTCATATAGAGGATTACGCAGTAGATTAATCTGTTGGCCCTAGGCTACCTATTACGGACTAGCGCACCGCCCATATATGCCTCAGCCGCCTGCATCCCTGATGGTTGGTTGAAAGTTTTTCCGACCGAAACTTTAAATCCGTTAACGCCCCACCTTCTTAAGCAGCCAGATTCACATCAGAAGCATATTTACCCGCCCATCATATTGTTTCTCACCTCCGATAGCAATCAAGAAAGTCATTGTTCCTATTGTTGAACTGTATGGCGGCCTCTGTTTATGCTGTTGATGGATTATATCCCAGTTCTGACTCCCTCTCAGCAGAGTTGTCAAAGGCCGAGTGGAGGGGATAATCCGACCAACTTGAATTATACTATCCAAGTGATATCAAACGTATGATTGAACTTTCTCAAGGATGTATTCTAATTGGATATATAATGACAACCCTTAGGAAATGTGCGACGAGTTTCATGACGCTATCCAGCGGTTTATTTGCTGGCATTATAAACCACAGTTACCACCTCAAGTCGTGAAATGCAAAGATAATCCCTGCAAGGGCATTATACCTCATTATCTACCATCCCAATCAAGCTTGGAGTTTTGTAGCCAGTGCAATGCGGAAAATGAAGCAAAGGCTGCAAAGGTAGCAAAGGCAGCAAAGGCAGCAAAGCACTCCTAGCAAATTAATGCACACGATGAACCAAATAAGGGTGAAAGGCTGGAAAGTGTGATCTGGTTTCTTTGACCTTGAAATGGTTGAATAGTTGAATATGGGAAAAAGAATAATGAGCGCCATGATACCTTTCCGTTTCGTTTTTATCTCGTTTATGCTTATACGTGAACTTCAACGGTCCTGGCTTCGGACGACATGAAATGAACAATATTCGTACCTCATTTGTAGTTTGAATGGAATCAGTGCACATTTAAAAGGGAGTGGTCAGGTTCAATTATCTCCTACAGCCGAGGATCATCGCTCGTACTGGTCCCGTCCTCCACTATAAGCTCCGATATCCAGGAATGGTAGTCCTCCAGGGTCAACTGGACTACACCTGCAACAAATCTTGGCTGTGGAAGATTTCCATATGAATCTGATCACGAAGGTTGAAGAGGGCGGTGATCCAGCGGTCTTCAGGCGACGGTCCGGTAGATCCCCCAGCGATTTGTTCATCCTAATGATCGCGGTCTTTGCTTCTAGAAGGATTTCTGGTTCCGCTGCAGCAAAAAGACTATCCAACCGAATCTGATTTCTCTCCTCATGAGGGACCACGTCCCACATCACCTTGTCGCCCACACTACTGATTCGAATGAAGAGGAAGGTTATCAGCAATGCCTATAGCTTCACCAACGACTGCTCAGGCTATATGGCATGCAGTGGCAGAGCAGGCTCCAGCACGGCTTCAAAGCCAAAACCAGCAAAATAATTCCACAAATATCCCAGGGAGAAGGAATGGAGCACTCAGGCAGATACCACAGCTGGTATTGGTGGATTCACCGTCCGCAGCCCATAGAGAATCTGACATCTGCTGCAGGAATTCTTCCAAAGTTGACATTTGGAAAGGATATCAAAAGGTGCTAGAGAACATTGAGCAAGATAATCCAGGGCCGACAGGTGGAGGAGAGGAATAAAGGAAGATGAAACAACAAAGTACGGGGAGAAAGGAAGAAGGGGAGATGAGTTGGACAGACTGCGAAACTTCTTCCATGGCCTTCAACGGCTGTCCGCCCCCGCTGCTGTGTATTCGAGTAAGTGATGCCATTGTGATATCTAAGTCTGTACCCGGACCTTCCTTGGCCTGGCTTACAATTATTATCTTCTCTCTCCTCTGCTTCTGAGTATTCTTTGAGATAGATAAAATTAGCAGTTATAAAATTATTTACCAAGAAAGCTAGCCACTTGTCCATCAGATGTGGATCGCTCGCTTAGTTCCCGCCAAACGTCAATCCGGAAAAAACAAAAAAAATCTCCACCTCCAGCTAGCTAACGAGATGAATCATTGTTTCCAAACAGCCACTTTTCCCTTCTTCCCATGTTATCTAGTAGCCTCACTTGCTTGCGAGTTAGGAAAATAGTAGTAGCCGTCAATCTGAAACCTCCTACGTTCGTTCGTCTCCTGCGGCAGCCTGAAACCCCGCAACAGCTCGCTGTCAGGCCACAATTCACCCCGCCATCCTTATCCTCAAAAATACAACTGCTTCTATCTCGCGCTTCGACGTCGCATCACTATTACTCCTCTTTGAGTAATCGGACACAAATTTTCTCCCCGCACTCTCCCCTCCAGCCAACTCTCCAGGTCGCAAACATGGCTACCGCGGCAGCGCCCATGACCTCCCTTCTCTCCCTACTATATCGTTCCTTTCCCCGTGCCGTCCCATCCACCTCTATCGACCTCGACCTGCAAAAGGTCTCGCCTAAGATCTTCCCATCCTGTGTGTACAGCGATGCCGAACAAGTTGAAATGGACCAATGGCTAGTAAACATCGCCTCAGCCACTGACATACTGGCAAAGGCCGACTCTACTGCGCTATCTGAGTTCCTAACAGCGCTCAACAAGCATCTAGCTACCCGCACAACACTGCTGGGCACGAAACCGTCTGTCGCGGATATTTCGGTGTATGCGGTCCTTGGCCCTGTAGTTGAAAAGTGGAGTGCGGATGAGCGTACGGGGGAGAACGGATATCACCATATTGTGCGCTATATTGACTTCGTGCAAAATGCGCCGCTCTTTGGGTTGAAAATCCCTGCGGAGGAGAAGATCGAGATTGACGTGGATGATGTGAAGGTTGTACCGAAAGTGTTGCAGACGCCAAAGGAGGAGAAGGAGAAAAAGAAAGAGAAAAAGGCGACAGGACAGGGTGGTGCTGAGAAGAGCATTGTCGTCGGCCGTGGAAAGAACAATAGTAACAGCAATAGTCAATCAGAAAACGGAAAAGGAAAAGGAAAAGAGGCCGCTGAGCCGGCCGCAACAGGGGCCGTTGACCCCCCGCGCGAAAAGAAAGAGAAGAAACAAAAACAGCCCAAGCAGCAAAAACAGCCTGCCGCCCCCGTCGCCCCGCTCTCCCCGTCCCTCATCGACCTTCGCGTTGGCCACATCCTCCGCGCCGTCAATCACCCTAACGCTGACTCCCTCTACGTCTCCACAATCAACTGCGGTGACGCCCCAGGCACAGAGAACACATCCGTCGACGAAGAAACGGGCCTGACAGTCCGGACCGTCTGCTCTGGCCTCAACGGCCTAATCCCACTAGAAGAGATGCAAAACCGCAAGATCGTCGCTGTCTGCAACCTGAAGCCCGTCACGATGCGCGGCATAAAATCCGCCGCCATGGTCCTAGCGGCGTCTCCCAAGAGCGACGACGCGCATGCCGGGCCCGTCGAACTGGTCAACCCCCCCGTTGATGCCCAGGCTGGCGAGCGCGTCTTCTTTGAAGGGTGGAGTACCGGGGAGCCTGAGAAGGTGCTTAATCCTAAGAAGAAGATCTGGGAGACGTTCCAACCTGGATTTACGACCACGGACGCGTTGGAGGTGGCGTTTGATAGCTCGCAGGTGCCGCAGCTGGCGGAGAAGGAGGGAGAGGCGAGTTCTACTCCGGTTACGGTCGCTACGATTGGGAAATTGGTTACGAAGTCCGGGGGGCTGTGTACGGTCAAGAGTTTGAAGGGGGCCACTGTGAGATAATGAGACGGTATAGTCAGGTTGGTGATGTGTTTGCTTGCCATATTAGTTAGGTTGATAGTCTGTCTGCCCTTGCCTCTGTTGCAGTTTCAACTGGATGGAGTATTGACGTTGATATGACGGCAGATATGGGACAAGAAACGACGAGAGACTTCTCTTATAGCAAAAAGGCTTTGAGAGAAGCATAGACATTGTGATGAGAAATTTTTGAAAATGAAATGAAATGAAATTTAAAAATACGAAATAAATACATCTGCTCCTTGACATCTCGCATGGTTTTGAATCTTTTTGTTTGACTCCCCTTTGGTTTATCATCGGCGGAATCTATATGGGATATCCAGAGACATATAGATATTATCACTACAGCACCATTCCCCCACATGTTTGCTTTTATCCACTCGTCACCAATATTCTTCACTGGGTTTGTTTCTGGGCTGAGGCTTTTAAGGGCTTCCCGTGAGCCATTGACGACACACGGTACGAATTTGTGATCATAACCCAGGTTGATTGAGGAGGAATTACTACATTGTCTCGTTTTTAACGCCTTTGGCCACCTGAAATCTATCATGGCCTTTTTCTACGGAAAGGGGTCTTGGATTTCCACGTACCACCAGGCTGTGGCGGGGAATGAAAGCCTGATATACAGTACGATATTGGAGTTCGAAATTGCCGCCCTGTTGATGCACACAGTGAAACTACCATAGGCATACGGGTATATAACTGTCTCAATCGATGCCCGCACAACTTCCCATCCCTCCATAATTTCGAGCCCTCCATTTCCTCCAGAACCACCATTGAGAGACAAAAAAAGGAATGCACCCGCTCACCCTACTCCTGTTGATATCCCTTCCACTCCACACACACGCCACCACTTGGAAGTCCCTTGCTCCTCTCCCCATCCCAATACGTGTATACACCACCGTCCTCCTCGATCCTTCTCAACTTGCCACAATCGGCGGTGGCCTAGCGGGCAACGCCACCACAGACCCCCTACTCCTCTACGACATCCCACATGATTCCTGGTCCGTCCGCTCATCCGCCCCCTTACCTCTCATCTATCCCAACGCCGCGAGCATCAACGGCAAAATCTACCTCCTTGGAGGCGTGTTAAACGCACCGATCCGAAGGTACAGTGCCGTCGCAGGCTGTTGGGTCTATGATCTGTACCAGGACGAGTGGACGCCCATAGAACCCATGACGCAGGCGGAGGCGAGGGGCAGAGCTGCTGTCGGCGTAGACCGTGAAAGCGGTGTGATATACTTGGCCGGCGGCATACAGAGTGCCAGAGAGGAGGCGCTCGATATCGTCTCCGCGTATGATACGGTACGGGGACAGTGGGTTAGCCTTCCCCCGCGGGCGCGGCGGATGCCTGCGCCGCGTGATCATGCAGGGGGGGTTACGGTTGGGAGAAAGTTGTATGTCGTTGGCGGGAGGGATGGCGGGGTCCTGAAGGATACAGTGTTTGTGCTAGATTTAGATAACCGAAGGAGTGGGTGGATAGAGGAAGATGGGGCTGCGGTGCGGATGCCGACCGCGAGGGCAGGGTTGGCGGTGGTTGTATTGGGGGAAAAGATTTACACATTTGGTGGTGAGGGGGGTGAGGGTGTTTTTAATCAGACGGAGGTTTTTGATGTTGACAAGCAGGTGTGGGAGGGGTTAGGCGCCATGGCGAAGCCGCGACATGGGATTTCTGCGGTCTGGGTCGAAGGGGGATGGAATGGGGATGGAGACGTGATTTACATACCAGGCGGTAACGTTGCGGAGGGGGGACATGCAACGAGTTATTTTGATGCTTTTTACCCTTAATGGAAGAAAGTGGGATTGAGATGTTGGTTGTGCTGTTTGCCAGGGTGTAGGACAGACCAAGAGGTTGTTTACCCTGGAAACTTGGCCCTTGGAATTTTATGTTATTCCTTTGCTCTGTTAGCCGTGGTTTTCTCCAACCAATCTTTTCACCTCATCTGGGGCCATAGCTCCTCGATCGGAGTTTCAACATGGCGCCTGCTTCTCGCTTCATTATCCTCTGGCCGAGCGTGAATGATGACAGCCGCTGCGTGGTCAGATCACTGGTTGGTTGTTCCAACTGATTGTGAGTGAATCTGGGTGCTCAAGCCTAACAATCGCATGTCACCCTCATAATTCGTCTTTTGGCTTTTCAGTCAACTCTCTCTGTCCAACCTTTCTTGCTGCCACAGTGCACGTACAGTGGGAAGTGATTCCCGTGGCACATTGTGGGAAATTCCAGCCCCTTCCACCAACCAGTAGCACAGAGGGCACTTCTATATAAAAACACATCCATCAAATCTGAACATGCCCGGCACCATCAAGCGGAACACATAAATAGTCAACCCCCGAGAACCTGTAGTTTGTTGTTGCAGAGTTTAATAAATATGCCAGTACTCTGAAAAAAAAAAAAAAAAAAAAAAAAAAAAAAAAAAAAAATTCAACGTCGTCACTGTCTTTGTGAACTGGCTGACTGTTGTTATAGGTCCATAACGACTAGAAGCGGGTTGATGGGCCATTGAATAAGGGTATTTTCTGTAGCTAGTCAGTTAGCAAGTGCTGATGTGATGTGAGAAGGAAATAAGTGCTTGATGATCCATTAGAAATTTCGCAGTAGCCCCTGGATAACAAGTCGAACGAAATAAGCAATCGTTAGGAATTATTTAGACTTTCAACAGTTTTCCTTCACCCCTTTTCACTTTCATAATTTCCGTTGTACGATGCATATCATTCTTTTTAAGCTGCCCATTTTTCCCCAATATCCATTATATGGGCAAATCTCCCTTTGTCTCCAAGCATTGGCAAACGGAGGCGAAGATCAGAGTTTCTTAGAAACTTAAATGGAGCTGGAATAATAGGTAGAAGTTATGGAGCCTTGGAAACCTAACTGGGCGGCCAAGCTTTGGGGAATCAAGCCCCTTAACGTTTGCCAGCTGGGATAGCATGCTGACCATGTAAATTCCTAGCTTGTGTCCAGTTTTCGTTCCAAGCCTTCGGCAGTCAAACAGATCCGACTGGACAAAAGATGGAACTAGATTTAATATTAGCGCTGCTTGTTATGGTACACGTTTCTCAGGTCAATTTCTGCAGAAAAAAACAAGACTTTCTGTGGCTGCGTTGCTAGCACCATACCACGGTGCCACCCGACAAGGGAATTAGCACCTTGTTTCAGATCTGTCTGGGGGTCTGCCAGCGCACAGCTTAACCAGCGATGACCATTTCCATCGCAGGTCTCAGCATCCTAACAGGTCGCAACCAAGTACGGAGTGGACTACAGTCATCCTGAGGAGTCGTGAAGACGGTGCTGTGCATAATTCAGCGAGAGATCAAACGCAGAGTCCCTTCTCAGTCCCTTCTAAGCTTTGGGTGACATAATTGTGTTGTCAGCCGGCGACGGATCAACCCCTGCTCCGAGACCCCTGCGTGATTTCGTCTCCAAGAATCTGGCGATCATCAAACAAAGACACCATTGCCGCTTGCACACTTTACGGACTGAGGAGCTGGGTGGATATCTAGGTACATGCCCTCTGTTCTCACCCGTGAGGCTATGACTACGGCCTCGATATCTTGGGTCGCTCTTACAACACGGTAGATACCTACCTCTCTCTCTTCCTGCCATCCTCGAACAGCTATCCTGAAAAAGGCCGCACTCCCAAACCTCTCCATAACCCCTGTATCCTATACGAAGGAATTTTGATCCGTCCAATTTTCTTGATTTTCTCCGTTTTTGGGATTTTTTTGGGGGTCGTGGACACGATTTGGCACACATACAAGCCATTGGATATTCGGTGGGTCGAGAGGCTTATAGATACCGATACTGCGTATAGATTCTCCTACAAACCTTCTAGTTCCTGGCCGTTCAACCCGCAACGCTGGGGGGAGCTGCTCTCCGTGGGGATTTCTCCTTCATACATGCTACTCGGTTTGGAGAGATGAAAGGGGGTTCTGCCTACTCCCATGGCTACACAGCCTACCCACATGGGGAGGGCGGGACATTCTCGATCTCACCTCACAGGTATGTCGACATTCGCTAACCGTCTGGGAAGGAAAAGAGGGAAAGCAATTTGTCATTTGTTTGTTGCAGGCAGAAGATATATGAGTCCCGTGTGGAGCGAATTTGGCTAATTTTCATATGCATTTTTTATCTTTCGAAATAGATTTCAACCACGCTCACATTCTGCTTTGCGCCGGAGACAACGACTGATATACAGGCTATGCGCCCTTGGTGGCATTTCTTTTCTTGTTTTGCTTTTGATTTTCCCCTCCTGGCGAGCTGCGATATTAGGAACAATAACGTTTGGTCTCTTTTCTCCTGTAGACGATTTTCAACTGGAAACCGTTAGATACTATGATCTCTCAAACTTTCAAGGAACTGCACGGGGCTGGGAACGGCAGGAACGCGTCCTTCTCTGCACACCCCTTAGAGATGCCGCGCCACATTTACCCATGTTCTTCTCCCATCTACGGAATCTCACCTACCCACATCACCTCATAGATCTCGCCTTCCTCGTTTCCGATTCGAAAGACGACACGCTTGAGATGCTCACAAAAATGCTTGAGGAGTTGCAGGCTGACCCGGACTCAAAACAACATTATGGGGAGATATCGGTGATCGAGAAAGATTTTGGTCAAAAGGTCAACCAGGATGTTGAAAGCAGACATGGCTTTGCAGCACAAGCGTCTCGAAGAAAGCTTATGGCCCAGGCGAGAAATTGGTTATTGAGTGCTACTCTACGCCCAACACACAGTTGGGTATACTGGAGAGATGCTGATGTGGAAACCGCCCCTTTCACTATCTTGGAGGATCTAATGAGACACAACAAGGATGTTATTGTACCGAGTGAGTTTTATCCTATGTGTGTACACATGTATACCTCCTCTCTGTGGTTGCTAACGATCAATGCTAGACGTTTGGAGGCCACTTCCCGATTGGCTTGGTGGTGAACAACCCTACGACTTGAACTCATGGAAGGAATCAGAAACCGCTCTTGCCCTGGCGGAGACCCTAGATGAGGACGCTGTCATTGTGGAAGGCTATGCGGAGTATGCCACTTGGCGTCCGCACCTGGCATATCTCAGAGATCCCTATGGGGATCCGGATACGGAAATGGAAATCGATGGCGTGGGCGGCGTGAGCATCCTAGCCAAGGCTAGGGTATTCCGCTCCGGCGTCCATTTCCCGGCATTTAGCTTTGAGAAGCATGCAGAGACAGAGGCTTTCGGAAAGGTAATGAATGCTACTTAATCTCCATCGCTCTAATTTTCCTCAATGCCTATTTGTGCACATCTGACTTGTATGAACGTTTGAAACAGATGGCTAAGCGTATGAAATTTTCCGTCGTCGGCCTACCCCACTATACCATTTGGCATCTCTACGAACCCAGCCTGGACGACATTAGACACATGGAGGAGATGGAGCGGGAGCGCAAGGAGCGCGAAGAGGAAGAGAAGAAGAAGGCTGAGCTAGCACAGCTTATGAAAGAGGAATTCAAGGATACAAAGGATGAATGGGAGAAAGATGGGAAGGCTATCCAAAATATCTTGAAGCAGGATGAACTGGCAAAGAAGGGCGAGAAGAAAACAACCAAAAATGAGGACGTCAAGAAAAGGAGTAATTCTGGGGTTGAGGATGTGGACAAGCGACAACAACAATAGCAGCAAAACTAGCGACGATAACAACAGCAAGTTACACCCATGGAAGAGGAACGGACATGTGTGTTTGGAACAAGTGCGTGTACGCGCACATGGATATATCTTATTTTTCTCATGCTAGACCTGTGAGTTTTCGCATGCTATCATACTGTTAGTTTCTTCCTCCCTAGCTACGTTGAGTTTGGCCCTTTACTATTTTCTTCCTATGTTGTGCACTATTTTATTTCTAAAGAATCCTGCTTCCAGGTGTCGGAAACACTTATCTAACAACCCCCTCTCCCAGTTTCTAGTATCATTTTTAACTCCCCCTCCATACATGTTTCTATCCCAACAGTTAAGTCAAAAATAAGTTACGCAATGGCTCAATCGAAATGGAGTCGTAAAGGCTGAATGTCCGCCTGTGCTGCGCGCTGCGCCCACACACCACCTGCTCCGTCCCACCACCCTGCGTAGGTTGCCTACCGGAAATTCCAAACAAGGTAACGGAAGAAGCAAAATTCATCCATCAAAAAAGCCTCCAATTTATTTTTTATGTCTAATTATTGTTGTATTTATTATTATTCTCATTTGTCTTGTCATAATTTCTATTTCTCTCCTTGTCAAATTCTAAATTATGTATTTTCTTCTCTTTTATTTCTATATATTTTGGTTTACCTACCTGGTGACTTTTTTCGTCTTGTCACCGACCAGCTCCTTTTCTTTATTCCTTTCTTCTTCCAGTAGTATGCTGCGCGTCTTTGAGAATACTTATATGCATGTACAGCCCGTCCCCATAGCGTATTGCGCTTTCTCTTCAGTTTTGACCTCTGTGTCGTCTTGATGGTTACTGCTCACTGCTTGGCTGCTTCCAGGCTACCTCTCCCTTTTCTTTTCCCCTAGACCCTTGCAAAAAATATCATCCAATTATTCTTCATGCCTTTTAACACCACCTTAATTTATATATATATTTTTTTTCGTTTCCATGCTTTCTCTCATTTGCATCTTGTTGCGATACTGGCCTCAAACAAGCGGATGAAGAGGAGATGGAGTTTCAACGCCCAGCTGGTTTCTTATTCATTTCAATACTATTTCATCACTTGTATTGCTATATATCCTATTACTTCCACTACCTCTACACAGCTCTTTGTTTCACATTTAGATTTTATTTTTTCTACTTTTATTTTCCCCCCGCTTATTGTAATCCTATAATTTTCTCTAATTTTCACCATGACGTAAAATTGGTTTGCGCTATCTTATTTGATAAGTATTAGGCCGAGGATATAATTCTTCGCAACATGGTTTGCCAGCCTCCTATATATCATGTTTATTAGAGGGTGAAATTCCAACATGACTTGAGGGGTGATGGCGCTCTACACCGCGCTGTCGTTGATTAATTGGCGCCTTAGCCTTTACTAAATGCAAATTGGTGGTGGTTGGACCATGATTAAGTTTTCACCACCGCGGCCCGCCGAAAACCCAAAAAAAAGACACGCGCTGGAAGCAAAGCATCGCAGAGCCTGTGTTGTCAACCCACACAGCTCCACAGAGACAAGAATAGCACGCCCTTTTGATCACTGTACAGCAAACTCAGTTGTGGAATTGACGGTTATTTGGATTGATTGAGTGACCCCACATAACAATGGCAAAACCAAGGGAACGAGTACTGGACTTCACACACTCTACCCCGCAACGAGCGCTCAAGCTCCTCGAATTACCACCCGAATTGGCAGAGCTCATTTCCTCCGGGAATGGATCCACGTATGTATATACCGCATATCAAAAGAATATGAAGAAACGTAAATCAATCATATGCCCGCTAACCGGACCTGCAATCCTTCAAAATCCCCATAGTCTCTACCTAAAGTCCGGACGAGCCTCCTCCTCCTCCTCTCCCCCCTCGACATCCAGCGACGCCTATGTAAACCTCTGTACAACCACCCAAACCTACATGGTCCGCCAAGTCCACTCCTCGAATTGCATATACCTTACCCAGCCCTGCCGCTCAACCACCCCCCACCAGCCGCAGCAGCCAAAGCCAGATGCCCCCGCCTGCATCACAACCATCGCCAAATGCAACGCCACGCTCGAACTCGTGAAGATGGATAGTAGTAACTCATACTCCGCGTTCCCATACCTGCAGCGTGCTCTGCGTGTGTATAGCGGCACGCATGCCGAGGAGGGTAGGGATGTTGATATGCTCGATGGCAGCGATGGAGATACGGGGTTATCTGCGGCTTCTACTAATACAACGGTGCGAAGGGAGCGGGAGCGGAAGCGGGAGCGGCGGAGGGTTATGAGGAAGGTATTTGCGGACGTGCCGTTGTCACTGGCGGAGTGTGAACGGGGTTGGGTGGAGATGTGCGGGTTTGTGCATTTCGAACGCGATTTTGGTGGTGGTGGTGGTGCTACTTCTGCTGCTGGTTTTCGATTAGCTTGTTGGCGGCCATCGGCTGTTGTAAGGGTCCAGGCTTGGAAAAGGGTTCTGGATGGGGCTGTGTTGCAGGGGATTGATGTGGGGAAGCAGTTTTTGACACAGGATTTGTGGCGGGGTTTTAGGGATGGGGATGAAGGGGATGGGAAAGAGAGTGGAGATGCCGGGTTTCCAAGGTCGTTATTCGATGCGTTGGTGAGGAGGTTAATGGGGGATCCTGCATCAGTGGGTCTGGGGAAGGTTTGTGAGGAGATTAAATGTAAGTTATGATTACAAAGTGTATATCTCGTTTTGGCAATGGATAGATGCATGCTGACATATTTAATACCTTTAGGGGCAAGTTTTGATAGAGATACTACTGTGAGTTGGGTTGGGGAAAGTTATCTGGAGGCTAACGCGCCAGATCCAACGATGGCGATGGATCGTGCCCAATTCATGGAGAGCTGGAAGGATCTTTTGCCGGAGTCGTGGAGGTGCAGAGCTACGTGGGATAATTTGAAGGTATGTAAAGGCATTTCCTGTGTTTATAGAATACTACGCGTCTATGCATACAAAAACATTATCCTGAACGCGCTGTATGTAGAAGGACATCTTTCCTTGAGTAACGGACTGACAAACAAATTGCGGTGAAAAATAACACAGAACGACTGCCACCAATATCCCGACCCGGCGAGCGTTTGTTATAAGCCAAGGGCTGAACCCAAGGCTACTCGTCCAGGACTCAAAAAACATGGGTGAAACATGAAAACAAGTGATAAACATCCATTACCATACGAAAATGTACTGGAAATGGGCCACCTAAACAACTAAAAGTCAACGATATCGACTCCAGATAATCTGAGTACTCCCCCTGTGGTCTATGGGCATTAAAGCCGGTAATTAAAGGCACCGCCCTTTAAAACATCAACCAACCTCTGGACATACAGATAGAAAATTAAAAACCGGAGATGCATGAGAAGGAGCTCGGGGCTCAACTTCAGAAAACAAAAATCAAGGTTCAACACCAGGCGTACTTCTCGTTCCAATACCAGTCAACGTCCTCGCCTAGCCCAAGCTGCTTGCCATTCCATTTCAGGCTGCATATGCTGGTTTGTTCCCTATGCTCTATTTGCGCCGTCGGACTCAGCATTTTAACAGCTTTCTCGACGACTGGAGTCGGATTCCAAATATCAACACGACTCCTGCCCCACTCATGTGCCTCCAACTGAGCGCAATAGAGAGCTGCAGCTAGTGCCTCAACTACCGCTTTCTCTTCGGCTGGCGACCTTGGTTCCTCGTACAATGTTCGCAGTATGAACAACACGTTGTCCTTCTCAGTGTTTCCAAAGTTCCGATTCCAACAAATGAAAACCTTACGGCTTTCAACGCAGGCGCCCTTCACTTTAGGCTCGCCCTTGCCAGGAAACAGAATCTTCGAGTAGAACTCCTCTCGAGCCCAATGCCAGCTCAAAGCTGCATAATCAGGCACAAATGCAACCTTGGCCCTTTTTGAATTGTGGGACGCCTCCCGTAAGATTTGTTGGTATTTCTCAAGTGCTGCATCAGAGCACATGAGCCGTCTGACGTCGTCGGCCTGCATTTCCCCCGCCATGCCTAAATCGACTCCAGAAACGCTCTGCTTTCCTTTATCTTTGAAGACGGGTGGGAGACTGATGTGCGACGAAGGGAAGGCTTTCCAGCCACGTTCCGCATAAAAAGATTTGCCGATATCCGAATAGAGGACAGAAAATACACCCCTCTTCCGCACCGAATCCTCCTGCTGCCATGTGTCCAGCCTCTTCGCGAGCTCAGAAATCATCCGCCCCGCGTAACCCCGACGTCGAAACTCTGGTTTTGAAAAGACACTTCCAACGCCATGGGCCAGGATCTGCTCGACTTTCCCGTCGTGGGCTAGCCAGGCGCGTTTGCTAAAGGACTCGCAGCTGCTGAGAATGGGACGGTTATCGGGGGGCAAGTGGCGGTCGACGAGGATCCATAGGGTCATTGCGCCGTCCTTGGTCATGTCCTGGTTCATGAGATGGTTCTCGCGCTGGACGTACTGATCGGCATCCAGCACGCCTTTCCATTCCCGGCTGTTTGCTTTCAAACATTCGATACGTTCTGCGGGGGTGGGGACGACGAGCGTGAGGTCCGCAGAGTCTGACAGAGGCATGGAGCAATCGGAGGAACCCATGGTTTCTAGAGGTTCAGTTCCTAACTTTATCTTGTGTTGTTTCCTTTTGGATCAAGTGCCGTCCGAGAGAGAGGGATGTATAAATGAGACAGATATGAGTATATAATGTATTCCATCAGTCCAAGATATCTGGATGGGCAAAGAAGAGAGGTTTGTAGGCATGGATGGAGCTACCCAGGCAGGTAGAATAAACGGAAACAAGGATACAGAACCAGCAGGGAAGTACCACCGCCGATTCGCGAGAATGGCCGAGTCAGCAACCTCCCCATGCAAGGTGCGCCGCCGTTTCTGGGCAGTGGCAGCCCTGGGCCATTGCCGTTGGGCCCAACGTGCTTGGCATATATTAGTAATACACACTCCCTCTGTCTTTCATGGCAATATATCACAATGCTCAGCAGGCCCAAGGCTGATTTGAGAGCTGGATTGGGAGCTCGAAGCTGTCCGTGTATGTAGGCTACCTGCAAATAGGGAGAAATTCACCGCCCATTGAGAAGAGAGATGCTGAGAGGTCTTACAATTCAGATTGTTACTAAGTATAGCGGGTGTACATTTTAAATGGGCTCTGGCTGTGCCGAAGGTTTTTCCAAGCCGAGATTCGACCAGGTCCCGACGGAAAGCGACGTCATCCGGCAGGGGCTAGGCCGAAACGCTTTGCCGGATTCGGGGTCGCAGTGCGGGGAAGCTGCTTAGTCACACCCAGCCAGTTGGAGAGATGACTAACCAGGCCATAACCTGTGGGATGGTTGATCTTGTTATTGTTGTGGTCACTAGCTAACTATATAGGGGTAATCACGTGCGGTGGAGGGCCACCTGGGCAACTAGTGCCCAACATCAGCGGCTCAGCTGCCCGTGCACCGATGCAGATTGGCGCACACAAGTGCAGGGTGCAGGTTGCACTTCAACGGCGGGAACAACACCACGCAAGCAACCAACACGTTGGTTAGGAGCCAGCATGGCGTGGCTGTGAGATTGTGTGTGCCGCTCTTCCAGGCATGCGGACCGGCGTCCAGAACAAACCATATGCATCTGTTGCCAACAAAGCGGAAATAATAATCGAGGATTTGAAGGGCACAGGCTGTGTTCTGGCGGTTGTCATGCTTGGATGCTAAGCATCCGCACCGAATCCTGAACATCCTCTCTTCCGGCGGCTATTTCGTGCCACTGCGCATGCAAGGCAGAGAGGGCTTCAATTCCAACATCTGCGCTTGCTGCTCTAAATATCTCATTCATTTGTTATCTAGGTTTCTATTCCTTGGTTAAAATTCGTTTCTTTGGTTGATTGTGCGAGCACCAAACCCGCCAACCCTCAAGGTGCTAAAAGCTCCTCAATCTATTTGAGAGTTGGCTCTTATTCTACCCCAACCTACGGGGCTTGATACCTAAGTGGGGCGAGTGTCAAATGGTAATATCAGATATATTTTTGTCGCTCTGGTTTTGGATCTGCAGCTGTCAAGCTTTGTATTTTGTTCACTGGTACAGAAGCACCTCTCGTTTGTCTTATATGCCAAATTTTTTGTTCGAATCAAGAGGAAACTTCTGCTTGTCAGGCTATTTGTCAATTGTTTTGCGATTCTTGATTGTTCTGCTCGAAAATTTTGTCCCTTTCTCCCCCCCTTTTTTCTGTTTGCTTTTTTTTTTCGTACCTACTCTACCTCTTTATCCTCACTGCATTTTGACTTTCTAACAAACTAGCGCCCAACCGTTAAAACAAGCAGCACATCGAAATTATGAGCCATGAAACGAAAGCTCCCCGACATTATCGACCTGACCAGCAATGGTGAAAAGGAAACTAAAGTTCCCAGGTTGAGTGACTGCACTTCCCTCCCATCTGAACCTCGGCCTCGACCAACCTCTCCGAAAACCAAATATCACGATGTATGTTCTCGAGTCGCGACCATTTTCCCGGGCATTAACTTCGAGTATGTTAGGCAGCTTCACAAGCGCCTCATCTTGGCATACCCAGGCGTTGATGCGGAGGAAGCTTTAGTCAACCAGATTATGGATTTGGGCCCATACCCGCAGGAACAAGCACCAGCGGAGGCCGAAAATGCTTTGCAAAATGTTCCGGGAAAGTCTCTGCCACAAGCTAGTTCCAAGATAACCTGGGGCGTGGATGATGGGATCGTCCGGAATAATTCTTATTATCGAGCTAGGTAAGGCCAACTTCCATTCCCGGTACAGTTTCACTGCTTTTTGTTTATATCACTGGAAGCTCCGGGATTAGGCCATGAAATCGCAGCACAAGTACATTAATTGAATGTGCTTCACTCATGTTGATTTTGATTACTCAGTATTTCTTTTATTATAAATAGCTAACGATTTGCCAGTCAATATCTGTTACAAGTACACTTCCCCAAAATTCCTCCGGAGTACATACGTTCCGTGTTACAGTCGCAGAAATCATTGTTCGCTGCATATGCAAACCTAGACCAATCCGAAAGCACCTACGATCTGACCAATCCTCCTTTATATGAACGACGCCGTCCTGGAATGCCAGACAAACTGGAACTTCGGTCAAATATCTCGATTGATCCTGGCCTGTTCCGGGAGCTCGAGGCTGCTAGAGAAGAGCAACAAAAAAAAGAAGGTAATAGACCTTTTTTAAAAATGCAGGAAACACTAACCCCTCATCGCATACCAGCTTTGCTAATCAAACTTCAGAGAAACGACAACGTGAGAGAGAATTGGCTGAATTGGAGGCCCGAAATGAAGCTGCATGCATCGCACAGGGCGATATCATGGAATGCCAGTGCTGTTATACGGATACACCTATCAACCGTATGGTACCTTGCACAGGAGAAAATATTCACTTCTTCTGTAAGGAATGTGTTAGATCCACTGCGAAAACCCAAATTGGAGTTATGAAGTATGAAGTGAACTGTATGGACACAAGCGGCTGTGGTGCTGGTTTCGACAGACAGATTCTAGCGGAGGTCGTAGGGAAATCACTGATGAATAAATTAGAACAACTTCAGCAGCGCGATGAGATTGCAAAAGCAGAGATTGAAGGGCTGCATGATTGTCCCTTTTGTGACTTCAAAGCCATATGTCCTCCAGTTGAAGTGGATCACGAATTCCATTGCCAGAACCCAGAGTGCAAAAAAGTGAGCTGTCGTCGCTGTGGCCTAGCATCTCACATTCCCAAAACCTGCGAGCAGGCCAATGACAAGAAAACACCAGCAAGACAGAAGGTCGAGGAGGCCATGAGTGAGGCGCTTATTAGGACCTGCCCTAACCGCAAGTGCAATGTCAAAATGATCAAGGAGGATGGCTGTAACAAAATGATATGCGTGAAATGCCGTTATGCGATGTGTTACGTTTGCAAGAAGAACGTTACTAGGGAGGGGTACGGTCACTTTGGCAAGCCACCTAATTATTGTCCTCTCCATGATGTCAAGACCAATGTTCGCCACTTCGAGGAGGTTTCAAGTGCGCATAAGAAAGCGATCGAAGAGGTCATGAAAGCCGATCCGCAATTGAGACTAGAGGAATTGGCGATCGAGGCCCCTAAGATAGAACTTCAGAAAACATCAGCCCCTGTGGGCCAGGCTCAGATACGAAACCGGCACCATCGTAACAACGCTCTGGCTAGACACGGTCGAATTCCAGGCGTCGCTCCATTCCATCCAGCCCAACCCGGTGCTGCGGGCCTAGGAGTCAATGCTCAGGTTCCCATGCACGCCCCTGTGAACCGTAACCATCCAGTTCCTGAGGCTTACCCTCAACCAGTCCCAGTCCAAAATATGGCCAACCAGCTTGGTCCTTTTGGAGGAGTCGTGGGACGGACGAACCGAGCCGAACATCTCCATCAGCCGATTGCCCAGCACTATTTTGAGCCTCAGATCTGGAATCAGGGAGGTAAATTTCATTTTGTCGCGCCGGCTGCTGCTCCGCAGGTACCATTTTATCCACCATTGCAGTATGATCCGAACTTCCAGCCACATAATGACTATCGCCATCATCACCACGGCTATCCGCTGCAAGCGAGACATGCTGGTGAAAAACCACCGATAGCGCGGCAACAACCTCGTCCAGCCCAGCAACCCCAGGACCAGAATCAACTTACTCATCAAGCTGAACAACATCCACAGCATCAGCCCCAGTTCGGGAATCTCCAAGGTCAACCTCAATTCCAAATACAACACCACCCCCGCAATCTTCAGCCGGCGCACGTTACACCTGTGCTCGCAGCCAACCCATTTGGGAAAAACTCGGTTCCCGGTCCATCTCTGCGCGGGAACCAGCAGCCAAATAAGTCCCCTGTCGTGGGTGGCGGTGCGCCAGGAAAAATCCATCCATGCAAACCAGTAGTGCAAGCCGAGCCCTTTGTTCGGCTCAACCCTCCCGCACATATGCAGGCAGGACCGTTCGTTGGCCGGCACGTTATCTTCAACAACCACCAACACCTCAACGTCAACAATAACCATAACAATAAGAATAATATCCATAATATCCATAATAAACCAACTTTCCGCTATCCGGTTGATATACCTGATGCCACCCCACGTCGGTTCCCGCGCAATTGACTTTTTGTTCTCTCGCTCGCTCTTTCCTGGCTTATGGTAGGCTGGAGGTTGGATACCTCCATTTCTTTTCTTTTCTTTCTTTCTTAACATACGTTCTTCTTCTGCCACAGCCCATAACTATCCTGCTTCATCTTGCATTCTAATCTAACTCAGATATTCTCCATATCTTAATGAACTTTTTTTTTGTTTATTTTCCCCTTTTTTTTTGGCATCATGCATCAGTATATCTTGAGCCATCAGGCGATTCGTTATGTTGTTAATATAGAGACACAAGTTTTGGTCTTTGGTCTTTCTCCCTTGTTCTCTTCTTGTGTCTCCTTCGCTTTTTAGGGTCGATATAGTATTCCTGCGATGAGATTTATCCCTCCTACCCTTTCTGTCCTTTTTTTAATTGGAGGGTAAATATGTAATTTACCTGGCGGCATCAGTTTTGGGGTTTTGATGGGTTTGCACTTATTGAAAATGGCGGAATCAGTTATTCATTGTATTTTTTTCCCCCTTGTTTTTTCTTATCTCCCCATCCCCTTCATTTTTTTTTTCTTCTCCCTCCCTTAAATTCACCTTCAATTTCTGTTCTTAGGGTTCTATTTCCGTTTCCTTTGGAATGCGAAGCCCTAAACCTCAACGTCAACATGAAATGGCCACATATAGGGGTACTCGCATAATTGTATATATTTATAGCATTCAATTCCAGTAAATTGAGTGATACTTGTACTGAAAGACCAAGGACTTGATGAGCACAGGAGTTCACTTTCAATTGAGATTCATATTTTGAAAAGGCAATAATTCTATTCAACATATATCTATATTCTGTCTATATATCTTGGAAGTAGATAATGGCCGCAGTAGAAACCAAAATTAAAAAAAAAAAAAAAAAAAAAAAAAAAAAAAAAAAGAGAACCAAATCTCAATTTTTTTCAGATCTATTTATAATCATAATATAATATAATATAATATATCCCGGAATCCCTTTATTTTCCACCCTTGACCCCGCCTATCGTCATGATAAATCATATCAGTATATTCCCATCCATCGTACGTCTTACAGTGGGTGTTATTTCGTGTCCCGTTCATCCGTTCTCGTCCGTCGTCCTCCTTTGCGTCCCCTTTGCGTCCCCTTTGCGTCCTCTTTCCTTCTCTTCCCTTCTAGTTCTATTTTTCTGTTTTTCTTGTCGTATTAAATTCTCCATCCATCCTTCCTCTTTAATTCTATATACTCTGTCTGCTAAAGTCACGCCCTCTCCACAATCCGCCCCCGACCCTCTTCATTTTTAAAATAACGGGCCAGACTGATGAGATGAGCTATTTCTTTTCTGTTAGGAATTGAATAAAGAAACAAACAAACAAAAATATAACAGGCAAAAGCGAAAAGGAAAGGCAAAGGATTTGGATTTGGATTTGGATTTGGATTGGGCCAAGAAAAAGGGAAGGACAATAAATATAATGAAGGAAGAAGAAAGGAGGAAGATGAGATGTAGCTGCAAGACAATGGGGAAAACAGTAAAAAGAGAAGGGACGCGTGGAATAAATGCAAAAGAAAAGCAATTCAAAAGAAGGAAGCGGTGAGGAATTGAAATTTGGTCATGAAATGGAAATGTCTGATGGCTGGAAAACGGAAATAACTGGAAACAAAGAGGGGGGAAAAAAAAAAAGAAAAAAGAAAGAAAAAAGAAATGAATTGACAACTAACGACTTAGAGGTGGTTTGAACGTAAAGCTAAGAAAAGAGAATAAGAACTGAGAAGATAAACTTAACCGGAGACGTTTTCCAGAGTGGTCTTTTCAAATAAAGGGCATACATAAACGAAAGCAAAAGAAAATATATATTCGAGGGTTTCATGGGAAATGTAATGAATGAAATGAAAAGGAGAGGAGAGGAGAGGGGACTGGAGGTTTATTGTTGTCGGGAGAATGAAGAAATGAACATCAAGTGTAGAGCTTGAGATAGGAATATAAGATGCATGGAACGTAAACAGGACAAATGGCGAATAGGAAAAAACAAAGAAGACAAGAGGAGCATGATAACACACTTAAAAAGCCCCTTGAGTTAAACAATCCCAATCGACAAGCCTTTCCCCTTCTCCCTTATGTTTCAACTTGAAGAAAGGGGGGTTCGTCACGGTCCTCGCCCCTTTCACCACCCTCCAATTCAAGAGGGAAAGAAACAAAATACCCTCCATCTAATTACAATTTTCAAATTATTCACGGCGGATGCTCCGCCCGAATCCGGTCCAGCTCCTCAAACTTCCCTTTCGCCTCCTCGATCCACACCTCCAATTTCATCTCCCCAGCATCCACCTTCCGGACGGGCACTGTCTTTGCCCGACCACGCGAGCCACGTTTTCCATCCATTTTACCCCCTACACCACCACCGTCTCCTCCTCCGCTGCCGTTCTTGGACGTCATATTGTTGTCGAAGGAGTCGTCATTGGCGGGACTGTGATCTGGGTGATTCGAGCAGCCGTTTGTAATTTTATTATTATTATTATTATTGCTGGTGGAGCTGTTGAGGTCTACTTCCCCGTAGGGCTCAGCGGCGATCCAGAGTTGCTCCTCCTTGGTGACGCCGGCAGGGCTGTCAGCGTTGTTGCGCAGGACGATGTGGAGGGTCGGGGTGTATTCTTCGTCGCGGGGGAGTGGGGTCAAGCGGGCACAGGCTGAGGCGAGTCTGGCCAGGACTGCGCGAAATTGGGCTTCGAGATCGATGGGAATGGGGTGGGGTTGTGATCCTGTCATCGATGGCTGTTCCTGTGGTTGAGTACTCGTAGAAGTAGTAGTGGCGGAAGAGCGTTCGAATGGGGTGTGGATATCACCGGCGGGAACCTCTGGTATCTGGTTCATGTCGAAGGTATATCTCTCGAGCGGGCGGTTGGTGCGCGCGGAGAGAATCACGACAGAGACAGCAGCGACGGAGCATTTTAACAGTTGGGCCTCGACGGCGGCACAGGCATCAGTTACCCAGGAGCAGACTTTGGGATGTCTTGATTGCCTCACAGGGTGGTTGAAGTGGCGCACGGGGAGGAAGGTTGGCTGCGGATATACGGCGCGGAGATATAGAATCTGGTGGATGCTGACTGCCAGGAACGAGGCAATTGCAGACGTCAAGGCAGCATAAGTATCTGGTAGCGGGGATGTGCGGTGGTTGTGAATGTGGTTGTCGTTATCCGGGGGAGGAGCCGCACCAGAGCTGGCGGGAAGGTCGCTGACGGCGGACAGACGAGGGTTGCAGTCCCTGGCAATGCCGTTGTTGGACTGGGCCATGGCGCCAGAAAGGGGTTTGGGAATAAATAGCTCTAGCTCTAGCTCTAGGTTATTTATTGTTTAAGTATATATTTAATTAAATATTGGTTCTTTCAACGACGCAAACGGCGTTGTTTGGTGTGTTGATCAAGGCGTGAGGTCCGACAACAACGACAGCGGCCAGGACCACGACAACGACAAAGACAGAGGCAAGGAGAATCGGAATAGCGGTGGTTGTGCAAGAGAAGCGGGATGATAGATTCGGCCTGTCGTTGAGTCCTAGTACTGATCATCTCTCGCGGGCGCGTTCTGCAAACTTGGATATTTGGTTCCCGAAAGACAGATATATAGAAGTGATTTCAAGTTGATGTTGGTGGACTACCTGGCTGGCTGGCTGGCTAGATGGGATGTTTCCATGGGCTCTCTGGGTGAACAAAAGTCGTAGTAAAATAGTAGGTGGCAAGTAGAGAAGAGTACGGAGTTACATGTGCCCGGGAATCGGTAGTTAACAACAGGGATCAAATGAGACCAACGAGGGAGGAGGATCAGACGATGCACAGCGAGAGACGGCAGCAAGAGACGGCAGCAAGAGAAGAAAAACGGAATGAAGCTAGCAGCCCCGTCGGTTGCAGCAGCGGCGGTGAGAGGAACCAACCGCAATTGCAACAGGAGGAAAAAAATAAAAAGGAAAAACGGAAAAGAAAAGAGAAATGAAAGAAGAAGAAGCAAGAAAAGTTGCCAAAGAGAGACAAAAGTAAACAGGACCAAAAAAATCACGCTGTGTGCATTGCGTGCAACCCAGGTACCAGGTACAGTAAGGTCAGGTACAGTTACAGCGGCCGAGGAGGTCCCAGTACATGTCCATAGCTTTGCGAGAGCGGGTTAAACGGGACAAAAAGAGACAGCATACGTAGTATATATGATGAAGATTGGACGGGATGCTGTTCTTTGACATATTTAAGATGGGAGATCGATTTGATGCTGCTAACACACATACAGATAGGTTAGATTGATAGATAGCTAGATACAGTGGATACGTTTTGGATGTCTCATCCAATCGATCTACACGTAGTGGATGTCGGGATGGAAGCTGTGCAATTAATTCCACGGCTCGAGTAAATAGTATCGAATTCCCCAACTCACCGTCTTTTTCTGCCTTCTGGTCAGAACAAAATCCCCGGAATGAGCCTGACCTGCGTATGTGGCTGCTTCACCTGCATCTTGTGGGATGGTTGATCTTGTTATTGTTGTGGTCGCTAGCTAACTATATAGGGGTAATCACGTGTGGTGGAGGGCCACCTGGGCAACTAGTGCCCAACACCCCCCCATGTGCCAACATGCATGATGTGTTTCTACAAATATTCCATGCTAACTATCTTAACCTAGATCATCCCAAAAATATACTATATACAGAAATTTAATCATTCTCACTGTTGTCAGTAAAAAGTTCTAGTAATTTAATGAAATATCTAAATGCCACTGTGTTCAGAGATTTGATTAATCTGTCTGCTATCATATTCTCAGTGGGAATATAGTTAATTGAAATAACATCTTCATTCAGTTGCATACAAGAATAGTGGAAGTGAGTGTCAATATACTTGCTGTATGCTGTGATCACAGCAACAGTAGCTAGATCAATCAAATCTTTATTATCTGCTCTAATGAATAAGAGATTCTTTGCTGTAACAAATTCTAGTTTCATTATTATATTGCATAATTATATTGCTTCACATACTGCTTTATTGAGTATCATATATTCTATCTCATTTAAACTTAAAGAAATATAAGATTGTTTGAACAAATACTATGAAATTGATGTATCTATTAATTTGAATATGAAGTTTAAGATAGATTTGTATTCATTATTCAACAATTCTGCTCAATCTGAATTTATATAATCTATCAGCAGATATAATATATTGAGAAATTCATCAATTTTATTCTTAAGATTTTTATATAAAATGTCTAGATCACTTATTTCTTTTAGATATTATATAATACAGAGAAGAGCTCTTTATATTTTAGATATAGATACAGTATTCTTCTGTGCTAGTAGAGATACTGCTTATATAATATCTGAGTATAATTTGACTGTCAGATACTGCAAACACTCTATTTTATATTAATATTATTTTTTAGTAAACCCTTCTTCTCATTCTGATACAGAGGCATTATCTATTTTCATTCTCTCAAATATTGATATAGAGACAGAGACAGCATTATCTAGACAGAAATCTTGCACTAAACAATCAATATAGCATCTCAATGTCAATTTTATAACATTATTGAAGCAACATTCAATCTCTATATTTAAGTATTTTGAAGATTCTTTCAAATCTTTTATTTCTAATTTATTAATAAAAGTATCAATTAGTCAATCAGCATCTGCTGAATCTTCTGCTATAATATAAAGATTATTCATATAGATTATTATATAAAAATGATTGTGAAATGTGTAATGCTATAGAGCAGAGTTATAGAGACTAGATTTGAAGTCATTTTCACAGAGTAATATTATAAAAAAATTGTATCAAATTTTAGCAGTGAGGTTCAATCTGTATAGAGAGTCTACAACAGCATAAATTATTGTATATAAAGTTCTCATCTCAAATTCAGTAGATTGTTATATATAAATTATTTTATCAAGTTGATCATACAGATAGATTATAACTATATCAATCTGATACAAGTTTCAATCTCACTTTACTGCTATTATAAATATTATACAATTAGTAGCATCATTGACAACAGATGTATATATTTCTTCACATGCATTTTTCTTTAATCAATTGTTATATACTATTCATCAAGATTTTTATAATATATCATCAGAATCTGTATTGAGATTCTGAGAGTGATTTTTTTCAATATAAACTTAGCAGCTGAGAGCCACTGACTCATCAGAAAAAACATCAGAATATAAGATTATTATTCAAATATTTCTTCATTTCAAATTTACAATTTCATATTTCATCAACTTTTGTCAATATTCATCAACTTCTTTATATCTACTAATAATATTTTTATATTCTTTCAGAACAGAACTGATGAGAAGAGAAGAGATATAAATAGCAAATACTTTCACTGATTTTATTCATTCAGCATCAGCTAATTCAGAAACAGCAGTATTATTAATAAAATAAGTTGCTGAACTTGCAGCTTTAGATATTGTATAATTAATATCAATCTACAGAGTTATAGATTTCTTTGCAGAGAAAATAATATCACTGATGATAATTATTTTATCAATTATAGAACTTCAGAAATAATAGATTGAGTTGCTATAGAATTCTATAAGTTTAAATATTTCTGCTCTGATGAACAGCTTATCAGTAGATCTTTGAAATTCATGAAAATGTGTATAAACATCAATATCTAGCTCTCTAAAATGGCAAAGTTGAGGCAGAGTGTTGATTAGTGCTGAGAATGAAACAGTATAGAGGCATTACACAGATGCTTTATTGATATTGTTGATAGATTAATATTTCTCATTATACAGAGTGATAGATATCAGCATATTATTGGTAATTGCAACTATTATTTCAAGAATATCTGCTCAGAATTTCTTCAGTATATTTATATCTATAAGTACTGTTCTAGCACACATCATTATCATATAAATTTCTCTCTCAGAAATATTATCTTGATGAGAGGATTGAAGTATAGTAAATTCTCAGATAGTGTTATTTTTGATTATCATCATTGTTATTTTATTTGATCAAAAGATATCATCAATATCAGTTCTAACTAGTGTTGATGATGTGAAGTCAAGATTTTTCATGAATTGAACTCAGTGAGTATAAAATTCAATAGCTTGATTCTTAGTGTGTAAAAAATAGATTCATCTATAACAGATGATATCATCAGTGATAAGTATATAATATTTGATCTTTTGATAAGATTCTATAGAGTAATCAGATATGTCATTCAGTGTACAACTGCTGTCAGCAAGATCAATATAAATATATTGCATTGCTCACAATACTTATAGTATGAAAGTTTGTGAGAACTTGTATATTATATTTGTTTTGACACAGCTATTACAGAAAAAGTCTGTTTTAGATCTTTTGATACAGATGCTGAATAACAGATTCTTCACTAGTGTAATAATTGCATCAGTATAGATATACTCTAGAATAATATGCCATTTCATAAGTGTTTTTATCAGAGAGTTGTGATTGCTAGATTGATCATTAGATTTCCTCACAGTTGTCAACATTGCATTTTTATAATTGTAAGATTTGATCATAAAATGAACAGTCTGAGATGAATAATAAACATCTATTTGAGATTCTCATTCTATTATCTTATAGATCAATTCTTTGAATGTATGAATAATAATAAAATTAACATCATTCAGAGCTCTTATTGTAAAATAAGAAGAAGTGATATCAGATAGTTGATATCTGAAACCTTGATCTTCTAGCTTCACAAAGAATAGAAAATTGACAGTAAGATTGAGAATTCAGTGAATATAACTCACTGAAATATCTCTCTTTTCTGATTCTAGAAGAATATCATCTATTTTCTCAACTCATTCTACATCATCATTCACAGTGATTATCTCTAAATCTCTCTCAAACAACTTTGCATACATCAATAAGTGTCTTTTACTTATCATATTAAAGCTTGCACAGATATTGAGATATCAAGATTTGAATATTATAGCAGACAATATAGATAAAGCAAATACTGTATTGATACTAAATTATAAGATAAAAAGATCTGACACTCTGATATCAGTAGATTTGTCATTATTCTTATTCTTTTTCTTATTCTTTTTCTTCTTTTTAGCATTCTCAGTATTGTCAGTATTCTTATTATTTTTATTCTTCTTCCTCCATCACTCAGATGCTTTGTCAGAGTTCAGATAATAGTAATTAATCTTTATATACTTTGAGATCTTACAGTATTCACACTATAAGATCATGATAGTAATTGTAGTGTTATCATCATTATCATTAATAATTATATTGATCTTTGAAACTTTGAGATGTTCAGAACCCTCTGACTTATTTATTCAATGAGTAATTTATTTTGTAAGATTATTGATATCTAAATTGATAATCAGACTCTGACTTATTTTATAGAATGTATTAAAATATGATTTGACATAGATTCTCTGATAATTTTAAAGATTAATAATAAAGAAATTATAAAGATAGTTCTCACTGCAGTTTTTCATTAGTTGTCACATGCAAGCAGACAGATAGTAATATTAATATATATACATCAAATAATCATCATTCTTGACATGCAAGTGGATAAATTCTTTGAGAATATTAATTCTTTTCTTTTCTAGAGATATTGTATATACTGCACTTATCTTATACTATAGAGTCATCACATTGTCAGATTGAATGAATCTCATAATCAAATAGACAGAATCTATCAGAAATTATAACATACAACAGAAGAGTAGCTTTAAATATATCATTTAATATTATTATTTAAGTGTTAATAAATCTTCAGATAATTTCTGTTGATTTTTATTGAGAATATCTGCATCATCAATCATCTCTGTATTCAAGAAAAATACTATCTTTCACATCTGATAGTTGATATTATCAAATATAATAACAGACTTTGTATTCAATAAGATCTGTACTTTCTTCTAATATTCACAAGTCAGCATATTCAGATCTTCTTCTGATATAGAGTTTGAGAAAAATAAAGATAAAGAAGAAGATGATGAAGAAGATGACAGTATATATACTGATATCAGTTACTTACAAAGTGCAATGAGATCTGCTGCTGCTATAATCACTATATTATTAAAATTCAGTATAGATATCAGTATAGAACTGAGTGTGCTATTCTCAGATTCTTTATATTCTGACATCTTGTCAGTATCTTATACTGAGTCAGAGATTGTTATATCTTTCTCTGCTATTGTATATTCAGTTTGATCACTCTTCACTTCTGAGATGAATTTTTATTCAGTAACAGAGAGAATAAACTAAGAAACTCTTGATTGCAAATATAATATCTTCTTATATTCTGATATAAAGATCACAGATAATCAAGAATCACTTATAATCAATCTTAGAGAATTCTGAATGAAAATAAATAAATAAGTTTTTAATTTCTTCAAGATAGTAATGAAATCTCTGCAGCAGTCTCAATAGTAATTTCATCAATTATATTACTTTTATAGACAAAGAGCTCTCTTTTCAGAGGAATAATATCTAACTCATTCAATATAACATCAGTTACAGCATATTCTAATTAAAATGTCTGTTTTTATTAAAAATCTGCTATCTGGGCCATAACCTGTGGGATGGTTGATCTTGTTATTGTTGTGGTCACTAGCTAACTATATAGGGGTAATCACGTGCGGTGGAGGGCCACCTGGGCAACTAGTGCCCAACACATCTGCGGGGTTCCTCTAGGACGAGTCAATCTGACTTAGCTTGCCTCCTGTGCATGGATCTTGAGATATTGATTCCATTCGGGTAACTCCCTAATGGGACCCGGGGACGGGTGGTTTAGGCGTCTCATTTGGGGGTGGTGAAGCCTATATTACCGTTAAAGACAGTTAAAGCCAGAGCCAGGGGCGGCATGACCCCCGCTGCACTTCCCATACAGTACAGTACGGGATGGTTACCATACATGGTACAGTACAGGTTTCATCCCTTTTGTCGAGGAAACAAAGAACACCCAAGAACACCCATCCCCATCCCCAATTGCAATCCACCAGCCAACACGCCATCCTCCAATACCGTCCTCCAACAGGCCGGATAGGGACAAAACCCAACATAATACCAGCATATCCGCATATAGGCACCTTCATCCTAGCCTGGTGCCGCGTCCAACAATGGAGCAACAGCTCCTCCAGTTGCTGGCAGACACCCAATCTCCTGCCCCCGCAACCCGCAACACAGCAGAAGTTCAAATCCTCACTCTCTATACAAACGAATCCTTCCCCCTATGTCTCGCCTCCATCGCCTCTCACAAGTCCGTCCCCATCCCTCTCCGCCAATCTGCCCTGCTCGTCCTGCGCACTTTTGTGCTCGCAGCATGGTCCCCCCACCTTGAAGAGTTCAAGGGCCAGGTGCTCATCAACAATGCCAACAAGGCCCAGCTGCGCCGCGTCTTGTTTGATCTGGCCACCTCTGCTGATGCTGACGAGCGCAAGGTGAAAGCCTCCGCGAGCTATGTCGTGAGCAAGATTGCCAGTGCTGATTTCCCCGAGGAGTGGCCTGAGCTGCTGCCCGGTCTGCTGCAAATCATTCCGAACAGCAGCGATGTGCAGCTGCACGGCGCGCTGAGGGTGTTGTCGGATCTGGTCGAGAGTGGGTTCAGCGAGGAGCAGTTTTTTTCCGTGGCAAGGGACCTGGTGTCGACTGTCTTTGCCGTCGCGACGAACCCGGCTAGAAAACCTGTGCTGCGCGCCCTCGCTGTGTCTGTTTTCCGCGCTTGTTTTGATACTCTGGAAATGGTCATTGAGCAGCATAAGGTAGCTGTTAAGCAGTTTTTGGATGAGGCGTTGAATGGCTGGTCACCGTTTTTCATTGCCACCATGAAGGAGCCCCTCCCTGCAACCCCGAGTGAGGAGGAGGAAGTTGGGAATGGGCCTGGACTGGAGGAGTGGCGGGGGTTGATTTCGTTGAAGTTGCAGGTTGTTAAGGTATAAACTACACCATACATTGACGACCTTTTATATATTAGGACTTTGCTAAGATTGGTACTTAGAA